GGAACGTCTCCATTAATAGCACGGGGCGGATGTACATTGAAAAAATAAAGGACCGTGCTTATATTAGAGATAATACGGTATCCATGGTTTCCAGCAGTACATCTGCGAAGTATAGGATGTTCCGCGGAACCCCGGGATCCCCCCCCCCCCCCCCCCGATCTGCCCCTGGCGGATTCATGTGTGTTTTCACCTGTTGTATGACAAGCCCGCGATTACTATCCTCATGTAAACAGGCGCTGAGTCCTGATTGTAGTACCGTCCATCTGCCTGAACAAAGAACATTGAACACACAAGGATTTTTGTTTTGCAACACGCCACTGTGACCAAAGTGAACAGAACACGTACATGTACCTACATTTTACTGCACTTTCTCCCGGCTGATGACAATGGCATGGGTACTACTTTGGGTATTTGCCTCTCAGTGCTCAGTACACATGGTTGCCATGTGGCTATCTGCTTAGGGTGTTTGTTTGCCCGGCCTGGCATCGGGCTATTGCTGTGTCACTGGTAATCCAAGAGGGGGTAATCTGGGCATTGTCAAGGATGGTCAGCTATACAGGACATGTGTAGCTGCCTGGTTAGCTCAGTTGGTAGAGCATCAGACTTTTAATCTGAGGGTCAAGGGTTCGAGTCCCTTATTGGGCGCTGTATTTTTTTCGTGTAGAAAACGAGAGTGAAAAGCCTCTTATACTTTTTTCATATGCTTTTTGTCAAAGAATCATGCCAAACGAAAGCAGAATGGTAGCCAAAAATAATAACTTGGTGCGAAAATAAGAAAAGAAAATGATAACACCCGAATGCACTAAATGCAAAATCAAGCAAAAAAGGGAAATCATAAACCACATAGCGCTAAGTTAAGGGGGCGTTCTTTTTTGATCTACAGGTTTTGGGTAGAAACTACCCCTTTTAGGTAGATGTGTTCCTTTTCTTCTATTCTAAAGAGTAGACTCTACCTTTCTCTACCGGCTCTACCAGATAAAAGCTGGTAGCGGTATGGGATTTCCGGCAAGATCAAGGAGTTGTACACAACTTCATAGAGAAGAACACATTTCACTTACATATCGTGAAAAACTACTAAATCCGGTAGAATAGCGTTCGTGCACTTCCCTCTACCTTCTACCTCTATCGGTAGAATGACTCTACTCTACTCTACCAGGTAGCTAAAAACGAACGCAGCCCGAATGTGCACCAAATAATAGATTAAATAATAAGAAAACAGAGTGAACAATCAAGAAATCATAACAAATCCAGCTGCTGATCTAAAGGTGCTCGCCTGGATCGATGACCCCTTAAGCTCCCAATTGCCGATCTGATGAGGGCAAACCCTAGACGGCATCGTAGGTGAGCCATCACCATAGGGAACAGTTCCTTCTGCTTCTCGGCAAGCATAGAAGCAAATGCGCTTGAGGAAGGCTGAGGCAGCCTTGTCTTGACCACTGGAGGCACAAATCACCAGGGGACGAACGATGCTTTCTCCACTTCTCTGTCGCGCTCTTCATAGTGTCGTCGTTTCTCCTTCTCGTGCTTTGTAAATGTGCTGCCGAGGGAGGGAGCGGTGTTCGAGTGGACGAAAGGGTTAAACACTTGGACGTCAAAGAATGTCCTCTCAAAACAGCCGCCTCACACCCCACTGGCAGCAACATGCAGACGGGCATCATCCTCGCTGATTGCAGTGCGATGCCTCATCCGTTCCCCGGAAAGTGGTTGGAGAGATAGCTCCACACTTACGTCGTGCGCAACGTGTGAAAGTAGTGAGGCCGTGATATCCGCAGCTCATTATGCCGGAGTGACGGATACCCTCCAATAGGGCAAGACAGGGCATGCGCGGTGCTGAACGCCTGACCACAGATGCAGGCGGACAGAAGCATTGGAGGGATCCAGCCTTGCTGAGGGAAAAGCCGTGGACTTTCAGTGGTCGGCACGTGAGCAAATTGGAGGCCCTCTTCAGCGAAGCAAGCTCCACACAGTGCTGCAACTCTGGTGAAGTGGCTGAGACGGCATTCTTGGCGATGGTTGACTCCTTGTTCCGTTGTCGGCTGCAGGCTTCTGACTTCCTGTGCAGTGTAGGCTGTGTGACATCTGGCAAGTAGGAAATGCCAGAGAGGATGCCCTCAACCAGCGGTTGTGTGGTGTGGCATGATGAATGGAACTGCTCTGCTAACGAAGGGACGGCGATGATTCCCAAACCACCCAAGCGACATGGTAGGGCCAGGATCTTTCGTTCGGCAGAGCCTGGAGAGGGGTGACCGAGGAGAGTTGGGAGTAGCAGGTGTACAACCGCCTGCTCCAAGGGCTCCAGCAGGGTAGCTGTGTGGGGTACAGTCCAGCAGGGTAGCTGTGTTGGGTACAGTCCAGCAGGGTAGCTGTGTTGGGTGCAGTCCTGGCAACAAAGGCTCAGCGATGCCGTAGACCATGCGTAAAGGTGGAGTACGCTGCATGCGGCTGGGAGTGGGCACATGTAGACAGCTTGTCGATCTCCTTGCACCAAGTGTTGACCTTGCCCGTGACATAAGCCGGTACAAATTCCAGGGTGTCGAGTGCTGCACCTAGACGTCGGTACCCATCTGAGCGGACCTGGATGCGTGTGTCAGAGAATAATTCAGCTGCACGCTCCAGATGTGCTGGATTCACTAATAGCACGGATTTCTCAGGGTTGGGGAAGTATCCATACGCTTCGCCGTGCTTCGATAGGATGTCCCACCAGTGACGAAGTGGCAGCAGTGTTGACGCTGCTGTAGCGTCATCGGCGTACCAACTCTGGGTGGGCCCACTGCTACGGCATTCTTCTATGAGTGGAATTGTGGCGATAGCATACATGACCATAGTGAGCGGATCCCCTTGTGTGGTGCCCTCACATGACCACACTGTCTCGCCATCCACAATTAGCTGGGCAGGGCTTCGGTAGGTGTTGACAAGAGTTGTTGCCAGCTCGGGACACAGGCATTGGACATTGCGCAGGCATACGTCCCAGTTGATGCGATGAAATGCATTGGAAACATCGGCGAACAGGGCACCCTCTGTTGCCTCGTCGTTGAAGGCAATGCGCATGGCGTGTATGGCTGCTTCGATGCCTCCTTCCTGGCCTGCGCACATGTGAGTGCAACCGGTCGCGGCCTCAACTGCAGGCCCGGTGAAGCCTCTTCAGGGGCGTGCTCGGCCCCCCAACTAGGGGGGGGGGGTGCACGGGAGCCGAGGGGAGCCCCCCCCCCCCCCCCCCGGCAATTTTCTGCAATTTGTTTGCAACCTTTCTTGAATTTTAGAGCATATTTGCATACATAACAATTGCAATTACCCAGATTGAAAATTTTTGGGGGGTGCACGTGCCCCCCCCCCCCCCCCCCCGTGCCCATCGCCGAGCACGCGCCTGCTCTTATACGGACAATCACAAATCTTGACATCACTGGCGCAACATCTAACGAAAAAGCAGAACAAAAAGTCGAAAACTGTTTTTAAAGTTGTATTTTTACCCTCTTTTCCAGAACTGCTGTACCTACTTTTGTGGACAGTCCTGTGCTAGGACTGAAATTGATCGAAGAGAACGATTCACAATATCACTTTCTTTGTTGCGATGTATGTGTCATGCAAAACTGGTGACAAGAAAAATGCTTGTCGCATGCTGTCGCATTCAGTCACGAGTCCGCCGTCGCAGAAATTGGCCAATGTTCAACTTTTGCAACGTGCAAAATGCAACATGCGCAAAACCCGTACGTTAGGTGAAAGAGTTGTAAGTTCCACCCAGGTACGTGAATTACAGGGAGTCAGTCATGAATGAGTCGAACACCTCTCTGTGTATGCGATTCTGTGCACCAGAAAAATCGGCTAGCAGCATTGCTTTGCTGGGTTTTTCTGTAAATCGTATTTCACGAGTTTGTATCACTGTTGGGCGTCGCTAAGCCGCAATTCGTGATATTGCCATTGTATTGTTAAATCCTCCTGTGGATGCTGTCTGAGTGATGTAGATCTGTGTGACTGCGTGGCTAGCGCAATTAAGAGCGTCAGTGTTTGGTTGGATTATCTCCGTAGTGGTTGTGGGGTATGTGTGCTCCTGTAGCAAGCTGTGATCGTCTAGTGGTTAGGACCCTACGTTGTGGCCGTAGTAACCCAGGTTCGAATCCTGGTCACAGCACACTTTTTTCATGATTTTTTACTTGTGTCAATTATGTCCATTTATGTGTGTGTAGGTTTTGGTAAGCTTGTGTGTTGTGACAGACTTCATGGGTTTGGAACTTTGGATTGTTCCCGTAACACCACGCGATGTGTTTTTTCGGCGTCAGCGGAACCTATTGCAAACTCACGTTGCGCGCTCTTGGGGGTTATAATTATATTCTTTGGCTCCAGGTGTCATTTGACAATCTTTTTTTGACAAGCTAGCGCCGGGATAGCTACTTTTCTTTGCGGAGGTTTTGCCTTACACTGTGCGGCGATCACATGTGGTGTGTGGGAAAGGACTGCGGAGATTGTTATCCCAGGATAAAGTGTGATGTACTTATGCCATGAGGATTGCAGACCGGCATGGCTAGCTGGTAATTAGAGCCATTGCCGCTGGTTTGCTTTCATCACAGTACAGCTCTGCTCAACAGTGCGGCCTTTTGGTGTCTTTGGGAATTGGGTCGGCCACATACATGTACTTATGCAGAGCATTCTGCGTGTGCTTATTTATTCTGACATCCTGGGACATACTTGTACCAGGAGAAATATTCGTCAGGAAGTTAATTTTGTCTTCTAGAGGAGTTTTCCGTTTTTGGTCTATGGACGAAATTTTACACCAGGCAAACTCCCTTTCTTTGGAGTTGGACGGAATTATTCACGGCTAACCTTTCTGCTTGTACAGTATCCCACAATGACTGCATGTGAACGTGTGTGTGTGTGTGTGTGTATATGTGTATGGATGTGTGTGTGTGTGTATATGTGTCTGTGTGTGCTTGTGTGTATATATGCGTGCATGCGCATGGTGTGTGTCCTGTGTGCTCTCTCCCTTCTCATTCTATTCTCTCTTCCAGGCCAACATCTCTCGGTGGTTCCTCTACTAGCAAGCAACCTGATCCCCGTCATGACCCTGTGCTCTGGTCGTCATACTCAGAGCCGATTAGTAGTACTTATGCAGACGATGGAGATGGATTTGTACCCGGGTGAGTGTTTCATTGCACGTGTAGCTGGAGATGAAATGGAATGGGAATGAATTGAATCCTGTACTCCCTGTCTGCACCGTACGTCGCTTCAGGTTGAGGGAGAGAGGGAGGGAGGGAGGGAGGGAGAGGGAGGGAGAGGGAGGGAGAGGGGGGGGGGGGAGAGAGAGAGAGAGAGAGAGAGAGAGGGAGGGAGGGAGGGAGGGAGGGAGGGAGGGAGGGAGGGTGAGAGGGTGAGAGAGAGAGAGAGAGGAAGTGGACCACAGCGGGCAGAGCACCCCAACGTGCCAAAACCTGACCCACTAACAACCAACCGTCGCCCCACTAGGCCTGACCCAAATTTGCGAGCGATTTTCCAAGCAAAGTATTGGAAATTTTTACAGAAAGAAATTCTAGCAATTTGGGAGTAAAAATATTGAAAATATCACGAAACCTGGACGAGTTTCTGGCTGTGCACGTGACCACTTCGGGCGAATAGGACTTTCTAGGGGTCCTTTCCTACTGGTCAAACAGTCAAAGTTCCACTGAATGCTTTGAAAAGGCATGAAACTGGATTCCTCCCTATTCAGCAACTTTATCCTTCCAAATTGTGGATGCGCACTCCATCATCAGTCCACTATAACCACCTCTGTTGAGTTATAAAAATTGAAACCAAAGATGCATAGTACATGAGTTGTATACACTTCTGCGTCAATATCAACTACTTGTATGCACAAATTTGCATGTGCCGGAAGATACAGCTGATGCTGACATAATGCCAATAACTATGAGAAATGCTCACTTGACATTGTGCATCAAGCAGAACACCAAGTACCTGTATGCCAACTGCAGTGTTCAGCTAGCTGATAGAGCAAAAAATACTGAAAAGTTGTTTTTTTTAAACAGAAAAAGCAAGAGAGAATAACACATGAACATTGTCACAGTCAGGTAAGAGCATTCACAAACCAAATGCACCAATATAATTATACATTTTAATGTATAATTAATTGGTGCATTTGGTTTGTGAATGAATGCTCTTACCTGACTGTGACAATGTTCATGTGTTATTCTCTCTTTTTCTTAAAAGCACTCTAGACAATCAGTGGTAGTTCGTCGATGCAAAACTTCTCTTGGACATCAGGGAAGAGCTTGCAGATCTGCTCGATCACCTCCCATCACGGCCACAACCTGGCTTTAGATAGCAGCTTAGGGCTCATTCTGGTCTGCTCTCTGAAATCAATTCGAGCCTTAAAGGAGTGGGCAAAGAGGGACACCCATGTGTTCACAAACGCTATGGCTGTGGGGATGTTGAAGTTCACCCCAACCGAGTCAATCCAGAGTATGCGCAAAGCAGGTGACATCGATGATGGTTGGAAAGAGTGGGCTATGTGTCCTCATTGCACAGGGGCGTAGCACCCGCTATGACTGGTACGACCATGGCCGTACCACTTTTCGAAAAGTGTGGCCCGTCCGGAACGTGCAAAAGCGTAATAAAAAAATCAGGATCCATCGATGCATAGACTTTGACCTTTTTCTACTGTAGACGTGTACTCGTAGATGTGCCATGCATCTGCCATGCATCTGCCATGCATCTGCCATGCATCTGCCATGCATCTGCCATGCATCTGCAGTCGTACTGAGTACTAGTTGTACTCTACTCGATTGCACACTGCACAGTCCCAGAACACAGGATTTTGTGTCTTTTTTACAAAATTTTCAGCCGCGCCGACCTTCGGTCGTACCACTTCCAAAACCCCTCCTACGCCCCTGTTGCAGCACCATTCACTGAAGCACCATCCCTAATTGCCACAACAACATTGCGTCGGAGTACATGGAGGGTCTCCAACAGGATGTCCACCAGCAAACCACTGGCAATCAGCTCCTGACATAGACTTCTCTACACTTCAAGGAAACCAGTCGTTGGCAGATGTTAATGTCTTCCGTGACGAAGCGGACTACCAAGGCAAATGCCTCACCCAGTCTGGTCGATCCATCAAATACAATGGAAATGGGGTTGCCTTCAAGCTCCTTGCATACATTCTTCAGGAGCATGCTATGGGCTATGGGAATACACTCCCGGAGATGGCCAGCAGATGTCGACCGTAGACCTCCATCCTCCAGAAGGTCCTTGAAGCTTCCACATACTTTGGTCAGAGGAATGCCAGCCTCAAGCATACACAGGGTGACTCTCAGTCAATAGAGCCTGGCACTTTCAGGCAGATTCTCACCAACTGGGTGGTATTGCTGCACATAACTCCGCAAGTGATCAGTTGTTGTTGCTGTCAGTTCCTCACTGGCCTTTGATTTCTTCTCTTTGGATTTTGTGTGCTTTCGTGACTGAACATGAGCTGCAATAGAGCTCTCCTTGGTGGGAAGCTCCTCCCGACCACAACTACAAAACAGAACTCCTGCATCCGCCGTCAAGAACTCATCAGGAAACTGTTTCACCCTCTCCTTAGCGCTATCACCGATAACATTACTGGCACTGTTCTCATAAGACTTCCCAGGGCAGGACCTCTTTGCTGAATTTCCAAAAGTTAAATTAGAAGGCACTGAACGTTTCCTGGATATTTCGGCGGACTTGGGAGAATTAAAACGAGTTAACACCTCACCAAGATAGATGAACACCAGCACAGCCTCCCCCCCCCCCCCCCACTGTCCTCAGTTTGTTCATTTATAACATCTTCTTCAACCAAAGCGGAAGTAACATTCGAAGCCATTTTGGCAATTTGGAGGAGCTATTAAACTGGAAGAGAAAAATGGAAGCAAAATATCGGCAGTGAAAGGAAATGCCGAGCAAAATTTCGCGAAAGGGGGCTGCTTCCCTGACGCCATGGTAAATCCATCTTTGTCAGTGTCAGGTGACTGATGAGTTGCCTTCCCTCTGCCACTGCAAAATCTGTTGCCCTCCTGCATTGGCGTCCTGGTCTCACTGCGTCCCTGCTGCAGTATCTGTGAAAGCATGTCAGTGGTTTGACAGGTTTGCACTTCGCCCTGAACTGCAGGCTGTCCAGCAGCTCCATCTGTAGTCCTCTCCGGGTCAGCAGTTGAACTATCATGAACCAGTACTTCACGCTCAGGGTCCATGACCTGACCTGTACTCGACCTTGAACCAGCCTTATGAATGCGAGAGTACAGCGTGGATTCGCAGGCAGATACAGAGTTGTTGTTGTGCTGCGTGCAGTCCTTTGCGAGGTGCGCCCGGGAGCCACACTTGAAGCACGTGGGAACTTGACCCCTGTGCCAAACGCAAATTTTTTGACCGGAGCCAGGCAGCACAATTGTAGACGGTACGGTGGACTTGGGCACAACATTTACAAATACAGTGCCAGTCGTGAACGTACATCCATCCACAGACTTCTCTTCCCGCTTTGAGAGACCAACAGTGGTTCCAAACTTCTCCATCGCCGATGTAATGGCCGACAGTGGACTATCATCCGTCACGCCAAAGATGTGGACAGAGACTACAGCTCCATCACCAAGTAACAGTACTAATTGAGCTCCGTCGACAGTGTGCATTTTCGTATAATTTTTCGAAGACCTGGCCTGTGAGATTTCATCAACAAACCTAAACATACCACACCTCTCCACATGAAGCCCCAGTAGCGTAGTTGGTTAGCGCGTCGTACTTATAAGCAGTACTTCTGTGACTGAGTTATGCGAAGGTCGGGAGTTCGAGCCTCCCCTGGGGCAGTGGACCACTTTGTGGTTTACTTTTTTCTGTACTTTTTAATTTTATGCCGAGTTTTCTGGACCACAAAGCAGAGCGAGGGAGAGAGGCACTGGTTGGTATATTTCTTTTCAACTTTTTCCTTGAGAGTGAGAGTGGTGGCGTTCCTGTGGACGTGGAAAAGTCAGTCTGAGTCCCACCCGAACCGTAACATTTATTTTTTGAACCTTCTGTTTCTCCACAGACAAGAGATGATGTGTTGTGCTTCCAGTGAAGTATTTGTGTGTGTGCGTGTGTGTATGTGTGTGTGTGTGTGTGTGTGTGTGTGTATCTGTATGTGTGTGTATGTGTGTGTGTGTGTGTGTGTGTGTGTGTGTGTGTGTGTGCGCGCGCGCGTGCCCACGTTTGCATGCACGTATGCATGTCTGCGTGCAAGTGTGTGCACGTGTGTGTGTGTGTTTGTGTGTGCATGTATATGTGTGCACACGCATCCACTTTATTACAGGGGTATTAATGTAGGCAGTGCTGATCTCACACCTGGCGGCTTTGGCCACGGTGGTATGATGTTCGACCCTCGGCACCAGGGACCATCGTCGGGCGTTGGCGGCTTTCCCGCCGGAGGTATTGGCGGAGGTATTGGCGGAGGCATTGGCGGTGTGGGCTTTATTCCCGGTGGACGTCTGCCTGCGTAAGACTCTGCTGTGTTGTCCTTACTCCCTTGAATATCGTTTTGCTTAATAGTATAGTAGATAGATGTACGAGTAGAATGCATTGCATTGTTGTGATTAGTGAAGTTATACCGCGGGTTTCACACACGCGCACGCACTGGAACACGAACATCATACTCTTCTGTCAACTTTGCTGATGTAGATTTTGTGTTTTTCATGCCATTCAATGAAAATGCAGTCGGTAGTCAGTACTAGAGGGTTCGTAAAGGCACATTTGTCTGGGGTGAAGTCAGGTGTTCGCCCCGTACGTTGCCTTTCGCATTGCAAGACAGATATTTTGAAAATGGACCGGGGTAACTGTTTTCCCTGCCCCCCCCCCCCCCACTATTTTGACCTGGCTAGAACCCTGAGATTTGTGCGTTTTGCTTGCCTGGTACAACCCCCAAACCATGTACCAAGCAAGCAAGGCTGTGCTCTCACTAAGCTGGAGTGTGTGTGTGTGTGGGGGGGGGGGGGGTACTACACAATCAAGTGTTCATCATCTTGGCAGGATATGTGAGCTGCACATTCAGAGCAGCCCGCCTTGTACAACTTACTAGTGTTTGGTGAGTTTTCTTATTTGTGTATTTGGTAAATTTAGTGTTCAGCCCATCTTCACGTTATCTGTCATTTTGAAATCCCTGTGCCGAAGATACCTCTGAGGCTCTCTGAGAGGAGCTGCATGGCCCTAGCATAATTATTTTCCTGTTCTGTCTGTACGTGTGTGGTACCTAATCTGCAGAGGAGCTGCTCCACCTGGTGCAAGATTTGATCCGTACGGTCCTGTTGGTCCATTTGGCCCTAGAGACTTTGGGTAAGCATCGTGTGGAATTGGTATCATTTCTGGTATATGTGTATGTGTGTGTGTGGGGGGGGGGGGGGGAGGTGCATGTGCTTGTACTTGTGATTGTGCATGTGTACATGTATGTGCATGCTAGCATGTTTGTGTACTGCTGTGTGAATAATGAATATCCTGTAAAACCGGAGAGTTTAACGACCAAAACGTCGTAATGTTTTTTTTTTGTAATTTTGGCACGATAACGCGCAGAAAGTTTAACGATGGCTTACCCGGCCGCCCATCTGTATGCGCATCTTTACACAGACATCTCGCGATAAGATTTCTTCAAATAACGAAAAAAATTGGTCGTTAAAACGTTAGACTTTGTGACTCGTTAGACTTTCCAGGTTTACAGTAGTGACTGATCACTTAGGCTGTGTTTACATGAAGCATTTCAACCCGGGTCAGATTTCAACCCGCCATGTACACAAAATGAATGGCGCGTTTACATGACGCATTGCGCTTGACCCGGGTTGAAATTTCGCCCCGGGTTGATTTCAACCCTCCCCCCACCCCCACCCCCCCCCCCCCCCCAAGGGGAGGGTTGAAATCAACCCGGGTCAAGAAAATCGTACAAACATACATCTGTGCGTATCTCGCGCCAGGTTTGAACGGCACTGCAGATGCAAATTTCGCGCGAACGGATTCACGTGACCATACAGGACTGTAGAAGTGGACTTTTGGCGGCATATCAGTATTTCACCCGGGTCAACTGTCTTCATGTAAACGCTCCCCTCTTTTGTCTATCGTACAGACTTTCAACCCGGGCTGAAACTTGACCCGGGTTGAAAACTGTCATGTAAACACAGCCTTAAGCTGTGTTCACAACTGGCGCGTGGACGCGGTACGCTTGCGATTCATGCCTGCCTAAACGCACGCTCAAGCTTTCACGAAAAACAGCAATCTGAGCGCGTGCGACACCTTCGAGTACTAATTTTTTGACCCCGCCAGTCAAAGTGACTGGCATGTACGCTGGTACGCGCCTGATACGCGCTGAAAATTCCAACATGTTGGAATTTCCATTTCGGCGCGTTTCCGTACGCATGGCGCCCCAAAAGCCAGCAAAAATACGCACAAACGCGTGGTTTCACGCGTACACGCGCCAGTTGTGAACACAGCTTTAGGCTGCGTTTACATGACAGTTTTCAACCCGGGTCGAGTTTCAGCCCGCCGTGTACATACATGTAGATTGACTGGAGATATACATGATGCATTCCACTTGACCCGGGTTGATTTGAGTTCTCCCCCACGAAAGTAGTCACACGACCATACGGCATACCTCTACTCTCCGCTAGAGGTGTACTTCATTGTCTTTGGCCACACTGATGAAAAGCAGTTATCAAAGTTTCTGCTTCCTCCGCGTCATTAAAATTGTCGCTTCGCACATCGCAATGTTCATGTGACTTGCTCCGCTTAGTCAGACTGTCGGAATAGCTGTTTTCTGTGTTCGAGCATTGGTGCGACCCTTCCTGCGCAATGTATACTTGTTACTGAAGCCCTGGTGGTCTCAGACTTTGTCAGAGCTCTCTTCCGCACCAAGCAAATTCATCGCGCTCCGCACTATTCCGCCCCAGACCGTGAATCGTTTTTCTGGAGTTCGTGTCGTCCCACATCGTTTGCGTGAGCATTTATCAAGATTGCAAGCTCGGGTATAAAAATCCTGGTATCTCTCCTGAATTCGCCTGCTGAAGTTGACGATGGCAAGAACAAAGTGTTCTCGAATTCCTAAAATGCGCTACGTGTGGCGCATGTTGCTGCGAAGATAGCAGGTCTGAAAACACCAACAAAATCAGCGAAGAGCTTGCCAAGGAAAGAAGGTGCGGAACTGCTTACCCTATCGCCCTGGAAAGTTGTTACTTTGAAGTACAGTGTACTTGAAAAATGCTAGTTTGCCGTCATCGCCTGCCACCTGGAGGCATGGGCCGCTAGAAAATGAAGTTTCTTGACCTGAATTTGAACTCGCGTCTTGTTCGGCGTATTGTTGAGTGCGGGAGGGTCTGCCTCAAACTCTGATGAAGACGTCGTCCTTAGCTGCAAGTGCAGCGAAGCGGGAGGCCACAAACTAAAGCTTGGTCCGTTGACAATGCTCTGCCTCAATATCTAGCTGATTTCTTTGCCCTTCAAGTGGACAAAATAAATTTTATAAATTGCTCCGGGAAGCGATGATTTTAATGACGCGGAGGAAGTACAGTACTGATCATGTTGTGATGGATACCCGGAGTACGCTTGAGAGCTTGCCCATGCTGAACAGATTCGCCTTCTGCATGGCCGAGCTGCTTTGAACTATATTACTGCAACTGCTGCAACTAGTGCCTCTACTACCACGACTACAACCGATCTAGCTACCTCCGGTCTGACCTAGTGCTGGCTGGGCTGTCTGCAAAGCGGAAAAGAAAATGAAACTCGGAAAACGTGTCTCCCTCTCTCTCCCGAGCCTCTCTCTCTGTATTGTGCAATTTTGGTCTGTGGGAATTGCGACAGCAGAATTTAACATCCCATGACCCATCACATGATCCACCCCATGCCAAATCAGCACACCGTGCGGTACTAGGACATGACAGCTACAACAACCAAACTGTGCAACTCTCTTTACTCGCATCCTCTTGGGGTTCTCTTCTAGGAGCTCTTTTCTGTTTGTGTGGGTGAATAGCTGTAGTGATTGTGTGCTCCTGTAGCAAGCTGTGATCGTCTAGTGGTTAGGACCCTACGTTGTGGCCGTAGTAACCCAGGTTCGAATCCTGGTCACAGCACACTTTTTTCTTCTTTTTTCTTGATCGGGTCTAAACATGTTTCTCCAAACCTTTTTTTTCTGACTTTGGCGATATTTCATAAGGAAGTTGGTTCCTCCTTTTTTCTGTCCACGGAAGCACGGCCAGTCTTGGGGCAAGTCAGTAACCATGGTGATAGCTAGAGGGACTTGAGGAGTTCAGCAGATCTGCCAGCAAGTCTGTTGTCACAAGCCGGCAGCATAATGACTACCGTAAAGTCTTGTATAAAAGCCGCGGCTTCTATGACTTTCTTGGTGAGAATTTGCAGGCTTCTATATGAGACAGGCTTCTATACAAGACAGGTATTTCTTTGTATGTCAACACTAAAACCAGGCTTTTGTGTGATTTGATGGGCCCAAAATTGCGGCTTCTATTCGAGGGCGGCTTCTATTCAAGTGCGGCTTTTATACAAGACTTTATGGTATGTGCGAGAAACCTGCTCAATGTTTAATACACCCAGGCGCATGGAGTGGTATCTTTCTGTACAGTAACAGACTGACCATGTCTCACGGTATTTTCCTGAGTATAAGCCACACTTAAAACACCAGTAATTCACCCGAATAAAGTCAGTGTGGCTTATACCATGTATACTACGATGTACTACGGTGATAAATAGGGTAGATGTCTGTATTTCGTGACAAAAAAATCTGGGTGCGGCTTATACTCCGGAAAATGCGGTACTTCAAGTACACGTGTCCTGGCTGTCTCCTTTCCTCCTGTGAGGTGGACCTGGTCAGGAGTGGCTGGAAAGAAACCAAATCTGGATTGGCAGGGGTGGAAGCCACCCAAAAGGATTACAGGGTACTAACACATACTACATGTAGTCAACTTCGCTAATAACGACTGCGGATATAACGACCGAATTTCCATACCCAGAGCAAAGTCCCATCTAACTGTATACATTTAGCTTCGGATTTAACGACTATCTGAATAACGACAGTTCGCGAATAGCGACATGCTTTTAGTGCCCCCCCCCCCCCCCCAAGTCATATTCACTGCTTGAATAACTTTCTGGGCTTTTGACAGCTATTTCAAGTACCTGTGACAGTCAAGTACATGTACCTGTCATGCAGAAGTACCAGAACCCATGGTGATGGATAAAGAAAGGCACACATGCAAGAAAATGCAGCCAGGGGGGGGGGGGGGGGGGCTTTTTCTTCCTTTTTTATTTTGCTTCAAAATTGTTGGATTTACCAGCCCACCTACATGTACAGTCACCTTGGCTAAGATTCAAGAACGACTGCAGATATAACGACTGCAGATATAACGACAATTTGCGAATAGCGACAGAATTTCCATGCCCAGAGCAAAGTCCCATCCCACTGTAATACATATAATGAGACTTCGGGTATAACGACACTTCGCGAATAACGACACTTCGCGAATAAGGACACCTTTTTGATGCCCCGCCGCCGAGTGTCGTTATAAGCGAACTTGACTGTACATGTAGTTGTACATGATGATTGTACAGTAATCATCATACATGTACACGTCCCTGGCCCTGTAAGTGCCTCAAAAAGGTATATCTTTCAATTTATTTCCCTTGCATATTGACTTTTTAGTTCCTTTCAACTGCAATATGAAAATAAAGTACACGTTGACATAGAGCAAGTAAAGAGCTTGATTTTGATATGCATGTCATACTAATACTTTACAAAATATGGGTTCACATACATTCTAATGGGACTTCGGTTATAAGGACACTTTCTGATGCCCCGCCGAATGTCGTTATTCGCAAAGTTGACTATAGTATCTTTTTCACTTGGTTTACGACTTCATGCACACAATTCTACTACTACTACTACTACTACACGTATCTAGGTATCAACTCATGGATAGTGCGTGAGGAAAGGCAGAGGGGACGAGGAGGGAGTAGAAACTTAGCAATATGTGTCTGGGGTGCTGCTGTTGCGTTTGTGTGCTCCGGTGGTTGTCATTGCGGGGGATCCAGGCTGTAGAATGGAATTCACAGCAGCTGGCTGGACAACAACCTGGTACTCACTGACTGGTCCTGATCTTAGCTCTTTCTCTTTCTCCCCATGCATGTGTTATGCTGTCTAGACCCAACAATGACCACTTCAGAATGCCCGGTTTTGAGAATGAATTCGGACCGCCCAGACCTTCCGGGCCACGTGGCCCCGGGTTTGGTGGTGGATTTGGAGGCGGCAGGGGACGAGGTGGCCCTGGAATGGGTGGCAATCCGTTCGGCGACTTCTAGTGTGACGAAATGGTATGTTGGTGTGTAACATCTGTTGTATATTGAACTGTAAATAGCTGTTATCGGCGATTTCTTTTGGACGTGAAGAACTTGTTGTACATATGAGATGCGCTGTCTGGTAGTAATCTCTTCGCTTTGTATGCTTGCAGAATTAGCTAGGTACACATGTATTTTACTACTTGCTACTGCTGCTGGATGTTGGCTATGCACATGCACTATTAAATAGTTCACTGCTGCTGCCGCTGCTGCCTGGTGGGTGAATGATGTCTTTCCACCGCTGGACACACACCATATCTTGTATTTGTACATAAATGTGGAGCATCATCAGTACTGACAGTAGGGTATTATTGTTCAACACTGCACGCATATTTTTTATTATCTTCACGAAAATACTTTTTAACACCGTTTTCTTTGCCATAAATACTGTTCATGCGCGTTCGTGTTGCTGTCACGAAAGATCAGAGCCGCCTTCTGGATTGAGCACACCTTTCTTTGCCCAGTGTAGAAAATAAGGCCTCGGCTCGAGTTGTTAATTTTGCGTTCTTGGATCCAGCCAGGAGGGGACGTGAGAGTTTCCCATTTTCCACATGCCTCACACAATAAAGAAGCAGTTGAAGTGTGCTGAAAATATCTTGTACTAAGAAGTATATGCGTGACGCTGAAAATAGTGTGTCTACTACTACTACCTCTGCACATCACTGTAGATAGGAGGAATATTTTTGGAAAAATGATAAAAAGGTAACTTCAAGATCTTGAAAGCTGCGTAAAATAGATGTCAGTCTGCTCGTGTGATCAGCCGTGAATACGGTGTAAGTTTTTCATGGATTAAGAATGATCTACTCGTACCAAAAGTAAATCGTTTCATGTCTTGGTCAAATTTCGGGCTAGTGAAATATACTATGTGTCCGTTTTAGCGAACAATGGCCAGCAGCATGCGTTTGAAGTCACCGCCACAGTCGTCCTTGACCCACGAAGCCAGCGACTTGCCGTACGCCTTCTGGAACTCGGTCTTGATGTCTTCCAAGTCGATCTGTTAACAGAAAGGGAAGAGAGCCACCCAGCCGTTAGAGAATAGAAATCTTGAGGCCGGCTGTGGTACAATGTATAGTGACATCTATGCTTCAGGAATGACTGCTTTCCTCAATGCTAGCTTTTAACAAGGCCGTCACAGCTGGGGCGGTTGAGGCCGCCCCACTTTTTCGGCCATTGATCGCAGCTCAGCCCAAACGTGGCAAATAATGAAGAATCCTTGTCCCCGATCGTGGTTATTGCAGAATCAAAAAAGTCTTTCATTGCACTACGAGTACAACACACTGAAATGGCACCAAATGCCTGGAAATGCTTGCAAATTGGCTTCAATTTTTTCCCGGGGGAGGATAATGAAGAACCCATGTCCCCGATCGTAGCGTCTTCTTCGTTTGTTGCAGAATCAAAAAGTCTTTCATTGTAGTTGCACTGAAATGGCACCAAATGCCCGGAAATGCTTGCAATTGGCTTCAATTTTTGAAAATTCTCAAGGGGGAGGACCCCCCGACCCCCTTCCAGGGCCGCCCCACCTCCAAAGTCGGTGCGACGGGCCTGAAAAACCATCGCTTACTACTCAGTAACTTTCTTCTAGTGTAAAGGTCGATTCATACTTCATTTCGCGTACGGGAAAATCATCGCGCGACGGTCGCACGATGGGCCAAACAAGTTGAGCTCAAGTCAACTTTTCCGTACGCGAAATGAAGTATGAATCAGGCTTTAGGCTAGACAATTCCACCAGAATTGCTTTGCGTTGTGCAGGGAAACGACCGTGTACTGTATAACCCCCCAGAGTGTGCAACGCCGATCCAGCTCTGCATAGAGTCTTGGTCGAGCGGAATCGGATCTTCTGATGTCATGCGTACACTACACACCAGCGCAAGGCCGGTCTCGAGGCAGGGCACCGTTGTTTTTGATCCGAGAGTACCCACGAATCCCCGGGTTCCCCTTCAGATGTGTACCGTATTATGACGCAAAGATCCGATTACGCTCGACCAAGACCCTATGCAGAGCTGGATCAGGCGTTGCACACTCTGGGGGGGGGGGGGGGGGGGTTATGTACTCTTGGTTGTAGTGTTCAATGCCCCACAGACACCACTTGTTTAGCTTACCTCTGAGCGCGAGACAATGACACGGATGAGCCTGTCCTCGTCAGTGCCGGCGCCTTTCATGGAGGTGTACGCCATCTCGGCAAAGAACTCCGCTGGGTTTATAGCTACCTTAGCTGCACAATGAACACATGCACAATGAACATGTACATACACAACAAACACACACACACAATACACACACACACACAATACACACACAATACACACCCAATACACACACACACACACACACACACACACACACACACACACACACACACACACACACACACACAATACACACACACACACACAATACACACACACAACAAACACACACACACACAATACACAACACACACAATGAACACAATACACAACACATGTACAATGAACATTAGTTAGCTGAGAGGACTTGCTTCTAGCACCGATAGAATCATCCATATCTACACAACAGGAGTATGTGCATACGCAAGTTCTTTACCCAGAAGTTTAGTCCGCCAAGTAGCTATCCTTGATCGTACTGCACCACTGGACATGTTACCTGATCTAGGCTGTACCATAGTGTCTTGTATAGAAGCCTGTTTTGAATACAAGCCTGATTTTCACGAAGCACTGGCGGCACACAAGCCTGGTTTTAGTGTGGACTTACATAGAAACAGTACCTGGTTCGAATAGAAGACTGTCCCGAGTTGAAGCCTACATAGAAATAGTACCTGGTTCGAATAGAAGACTGTCCCGAGTTGAAGCCTACGGTACCCACAGTTGCGCTCGGTGAAATCCGACCCAAAGTGCAAAACTGGTGCCCTGTACCAATCCTGATTACATCATTGTATTTGTACATGTGCACAGCTACATTCGTGTCACTTCCCGGGCGTCAATGGCCGTGCAAATTGAGGGCGCCAAATATGCACTCTGGGTCGGATTTCACCGAGCGCAACTGTAGTACTGACATTGGCTTCTACAGGAAAAAGCTCGGCTTTAATATGCGACAGTACGGTATATGCATGGGGCCTCAAACTTACCCACGGTGCACAGACCATCCTCAACATTGCCAGAAAACTCGTTCTTGATTGCCTTGATAATGGTGTGTCCAGACAGCTAGTTATCAGATCAATTGCACAGAAAATAATTCTGCAGTTAGTTGCAAACTTGCTAGTAGCTTGGCCTAGTGGTCATCAACACAATGAACCATTCCTGTAGCCTGGATAGGCTAATGATTAGCATGCTATACGACCAGTATCACTGGCAGTCTGCACGATATTAGTCGTCTGAACTTTGGAATACTTGCTGTGCAACGAGACAAGGTTGCTGTACCAGAATGGTTCTACTAAACTTTTAATGCTGCTACCAACTTACCTTGACATACTCGTGGAACGTGGCACGAAGCTGGTCGTAGCTGCGCAGGCAGATGATGTAGTTGAAGACCGACTCGTCAGTGCCGAACGATTTCTCACCAGCCTGGAGGAATATGCACACACACACGCGCACACACACGCACGCACACACACACACACGGACATCAGGGTACACACTTTGGCAGTTCAGATCTTGCAACTTCAATGTAGGGGAGTTCACAAAGTGATATGATCGTATGCACTTTTCGGCAGGCATCGGAAGCATCACCCTGCAGTAGACAGCATTGCCCACGTCCATTACGAAATAATACAACACACTATACACTATACAAACAAGGCTCTGTAACAACATGTGTATGTGTAATAGTACACCAAAGTCCATGGACACACACTGTTACTTTTTAGGGCAGAGCTTGGGAACGTCCCATTGTACGCACTCAGAATGTTGCATTGGTGACAGACAGGTGCAACTCCCGATGACTGTTAAGTGCGTCACCACCAGGTCCTGCAATGTTGCGTTTCTCTGCATTCGGAGAAGCAGCAATGCACGTGATGCATAAAAGCCCGATGTTCAGTTATTCTTCTTACCTCATACAACTTCTGGGCCTCTGCAGCAGCCAGGGCAGGGTCAACCGGCTTCTCCTCTCGGCCACCCTGGATAAGAGACATCGGCACAACGCAGAGGGGCCGTACGTTAGCAATAGCTGAATAAAGTATGTATAATGTAGAACAGTGGCTTACTGCTGCACACACTACCATTACCAACGCCACCAAGTCAAATCCAGGCCTTTTTTCAATGAGTACATATATCTTTTTGGTGATTATAATATAACTTGATTAATTTCATGGGAATTGGGAAAACATCAAATCCCATAGCTTACAACTTTAGATGGTTAGAGCACTGCTCATGACAAGCAAGTACCCAGGTTAAGAGTCCAGGTGGGGTTGGCATATTTCTTGCTCTTCTGGCAGTTCACTTCTCGACTGCTTACATCACACTTGATTGTTGATGCTTTGGTGTGTTGTAAGCTTCTTACTGTTAACGCACTCAGTTTCGGTTGTGTGCCATTCTAACTTTTTTTTTAATGTCCTGTTCACTTTTTCTTGGTGAATAATTTCCAGTGCTAACACAGAACACAGTATATTTCTCGTGGAATTGCAGGGGAATAAACTTGAGATCAGTACCAAATATTGGAATCCACCGATAACCGTATGACTAGAGTTATCACCTACCTGGCACAATGAGACAAGGAGACGTTCGTAATCACCGCTGGTGTCACCCTTGATGTCCTTCTCCAGCTCATTCTTGAACTCTATGCGACAATAACAAAACATAGCACTGTGTTACACCGATGCTCACCGGTCTGAAGCTTCACTTGAGGATACAGGAAGTCCCCCCCCCCCCCCTCCCTGGCTTTCAAATCAATGCTTTCCACCATGAAGGTGGTAGCTGAAAGCAGGAAAGCACACTACTGAACAGACTTACTCTTCTTGTATGCTGCCTTGATCTCAGCGATTTGCTCATTGGTTCGGCTGCACATGATCTCAATCAGAACCTTGTCCTTAGTACCCAAGCCCTGCAATTCAAACAGACACAAACAAGTATCTTTGTGTGGTGTTGCCGATACACGGAATTTGGTGTCTTGGTAGCATTGGTCCCTGCACGCAACGCCGGCACCTCCAGAAGGCACAACTAAGATCCTTCAAATTAGTTCGCTTGACAATTACGATGGAACATGCAAACGCTTGTGCATGTGATTGCCCTTTACCAGTCGGCCCTCTTCAGCAGACCCGTATCACTACCGAGGACAATTCTTGCTCGATTCTAGCTCACGTGCTTGCTACAGCTGTACTACGTACAACAAGACATCATGTTGATGTGCTGTAATCACACACACAGCCCAGTGTACCTGCATGCCTATATTCCTTGGTGCAAAACTGAGCTGATCGACCGCTTACCGAGATAGCCTTGTGCAGACACTTTGCATCAAAGTCGGCTGGCTTCATGAACAGAGCAAGCACGGTGTCCTCAAAGTCACCTCCAAGCTCAGACTTGAGATCATCGATCAAATCCTGAAAAGACAATACACGAGAAGCACGGGAATAGACACGCTTCCACACAAGACCGCAACTTCACCCAGACCCACCCGACTACAAGGCATTTTAGTAGTGTACATAGAATAGTGTTGCATTCTCTTGCAGTTTTGCAGCAGGTGGTCGAAATGGTCGACACTCTCATAGTCACAGTCAGAATTATCGCTCCTATCTTCCACTACAGTGGAGCAGTACAGTACATTTGCGAATTTGAACCCACCAAGTTTGGTGAATTCCACCACAATGTGCACTTGGCCAACCCACCTGTTGTAGGTACATGTACATGTATGTACACAATGGCCAAGCCACACATACTCTATGTCAAGCAAGGTACAGATACTAGAGACAATGTTATACACAGAACAACCTGACCATACCCGTCCAAACATGGTCTTGAATGTCTTGATGGTCTCCTGGCGTTGAGAGTTGGACATGCGAGCCACAGACTCAATGATAGCCTTCTCATTGGTGCCTATTTACAGCAAAATAGGAGAGACAGGAGAGAGGTGTGCATGAACATGTTCCGTTGCAAGCAGAATTCCGGGAAGGCAGGAAGCCAATCCACCATACATAGAATGTTAGTGTTTTCTGTCCACACATGTAGAGGAAGGTTCCATCCGCACTGGTACAGGAATCCACTCCTTTGCCACCAATGATATTTAACCCAAAACATTCCTAATGAAGACCATGCAGCAAGCAAGAGCAAAGTAGATACCTGCAGGCATTACTTTTCTTAGAAGTGTTTAGCCTAGAAAGGTTGACCTACCAAGTCCCTTCATGGCCTTGCGCAGTGCCTGGGACTCTTCCTCGGCACTGAAGCCTGGGTTGGGCGTAACTGTTGGGGTCTGGACACGCACGCACAGCCAGACAAACACAGGCACATGCAATATGACATCGTTTAGAATTCAGCCTGAGCAACCTCACCACATTCACATTGTAAGAAGCTTGAGAGTAATGCCATACCCCGAGTCTCGTCGTGAAAACAACTACCTGTATGTACTGAGCTACCAGTAAATCAGAAGCTAGACTTTTTAGTATTCTTGAGCTCTGCAAAACTGCGGTTTGTCCTGCGAGGGTTCCGACACTTTCGCGGTGGAGCAAACATGGTTTACATCTCGTAGCAGATGTCATGCATGCAGCCGTACGACTATATCTTTGAATTCACAGCCATCAGTGCTGTACTCACTAAACCTTCTGAGCTAGAGGCGAATCACCCTTTGTCCTACAAAAAATGCTGGTGACTTCGCAGGCGAGCAAGAGCGCACCTCGTCTTGCGTTGTAGACAGACGTACATGTGGAAAGCCCTTAGTGTATCGCTGCGGACTCCTGATCCAAAGTGCTGCCGGGAAAGCAGCTCGCCTAAATTTGAGGAAGCTTGCCACAAGAGCTAAGCCCGTACAACCTTACACCTGAAGACCGAAGCGCCGTCATACTATAACCAAGAGTACAGAGGCAATATGCTTTGGTTCTGCAAGAGTGCTCAATGCCTGATTCAGGCAGAGCGGCGTACACAAAGGCACACAATGAAAACCTTGGCAAATTTATTCCGTTGTGACTCCGTCACAACGGAATAAATTTGCCAAGGTTTTCATTGTGTGCCTTTGTATAACCAAGAGTACATAACCCCACGGGCCAGGATGGTGCAACTGCCTGCACAACCCCTATCCAGTGCTGCGACAGCAGAGTTTAACACCATGTGACATGGCTCGATAGGTTACACTGGCAAACAGTGCAACGTGACCACAAGAGAGTTGTACCCCAAACGGGGTGGCGTACAATCTTGTAGCTATCATGCACAAGCTGCAAATCATGTGTGTAGGTTTGTCACATGAAGTTCTGCCTTTGCAGGCCCCATAGACTAGAGTGGCACACTCTTGGAGGTTATGTACTCTTGCTAAACTTGCTGCTTCCTTGGGCGAGCAAGCTTTCTGGCCCGCCCGAATAGATCACATACTTGTACGTCAGTACTCTGTTGTTGAACAATACACTAATTTGGCTGTTTGGTAACCAACGGCTTGACAAATATGACGGTTATACGGAGCTGTTCTCCATTCCATCATCCTAGTCTTGGGGTCGCTGGGCTCCAGTCTTGCAGCCTCTTCTTCAACCCATTCTCAAAAATAAACTATCTTAAAAACCGAGTGTGGAGCAGAGGAGCAAACGTTCTGTGTGAGCGAACTAGCTTGGAATGTCAAATAAGTTACCTTATTCTGTCAACTACCTGGTTGGCCACTAGACCTAGACCGATCCATGGCCATGCCATTCAAGTAGTAACAGCAATGCATCGTACAGTCAAACAAACACAGCAGTGACTCTAATCAAGTTACAACTGAGAATTATAATTAATCTACAGATTGAACATTCAACAAGACCTTTCACAAGATTAATGCTGCGTCCTGGCACCTAGTACCTCTGGGGTGCCTCCGCTCAAGCAGTCATGCTACACATACAATCCACCCACAAAGCTCACCGGCATAGTTATTGGTATTATAGAAGGCTGAGATCTGTAGACGTACAAACAGACACCAACAAAACCAAGACACATACGTTAGATCAACCGACTGGCTCACATACACAAACTAACTAAGAGTACTAGTCTGGACGGTCCAAGCGGCAAAAATCTAAAGCGGTCGAACACGAGCTGGTTGCAACAGGTGACCTGTGTATCTACAAGTTGCTGTGTATCGGACAGAACAGGTCTTTTACAGCTGTGCTTCCTGCGCCTACGCACTATATTGAAGCACTATGTTGATGACATCACTGACGTAGTGAAATCAACACGAGCTTTGTGTACGAGCCAAGTTTGCTCGCACTGCAGTCCGCAGCACCGCGCCCTTTCATAACTGCCGCTCGGACGTAGTCTTGAGCTATAGGAATGGATGTACAGGTACACAGACAATGCACTAGACTGCTCGCCAGTGAGCACCTGCTGATTCGCCTGGCTGAAGATGCATTGTACTGTGCAGCACGTGCATGAAGAAATGGTGATTATGTGCACGCACATGCTATTTCCAGTCAAATGACCCTGGGTAAAAAAAAAGACCATCTGGTAACAGAGACCACGCTTTGAAGGTCCCTGGAGTGGTCGTCTTAACAGGTTTCACTAAAATCTGTCACGGCGACCACTCGGATAACTGAGGCGACCACCTGTCCCAGAAGGCCACCGCAGACAGGACTGCAGACAGGACTAAGGGATGCTATTTCCAGTAAAAGGCTAAGGAGACCACCTTGTTACAGAGACCACACTTTGAAGGTCCCTTGAGCGGTCGTCTTAGACAGGTTTCACTGTACATTAGTGCATTTCAAACATCCGAGATCCTTGCCCCGCCCCCACCCCGCCCCCACACCGGCACACGTATTGGCCGGGAAGGAGGGGTGCCGACGGCCGCAGTACATCATGACATGGTAGACCTACATACAAGTCATTCAAAGCGGGTTCAACACAATAAGAGATTATTGTAGTACGGGTCAACACGGGAATGGCTGAACTGGACCCGGTTTGGTCCGAAAAGGAAGCCGCTGGTGGGGTACGCACTGAGCAATTGCTTGGGAAAAGCACTAACACCGTGTACCCGTCTTCAAAAACCGGGAGTATCTGACCCGAGTGAAGCCTTGAAAGAAAGCGTTGGGCACGCCGAAGCAGGGTCGACAACTCAGCAGGGCGCCACGGGAAAGCATGTACATACCTCACTCCGGTTGGAAGCCAACTCAAAACACCAGACAAACAGAATGATGCTAGCAAAAGCAAAACGCTACACAAAAATACGCAAACTATTCGTAAGGTACTTCTCGTTGTCCACGCAAAAGTCTGAGCTACAGACAGTATGTCCGCGAACTCAGTATGTCCGCGAAGCTCCCGTTTACCGTACGAATCAAAATAAACAACAAACAAATAAGTAGCCACGTCCCCATACTCGATATAATTATATCGATAGCTATTGATTTACCTAAAACTGGAGGGGGCAGTGGGGCACGTAAGCCGCAGAATGGCGGGCATGCACAATGTATCACACTCATGAATAGAATGTACTCAAGGCACAAACTTACCTGTTTCTGCTGAGCCGGGAATGGAGATCGAGCTAATCTTCGAATCAAGATACGAGCAGACCTTCCGTCAACGTGGACTTGCTGCAAATGACGACTGCTTCTCAAGCGTGTGACCGTTTTGGTGCACTACCCACGTCGATGTACGCGATGCAAGTCACAAGGCAAACTGCTCGTATCAGTAGCAGCGCACCGTAGATCTACGCGTTGTCATTGCCTGCGTTGCTGCTGCTGCTGAAGTCTGCACCTACACTAGGCTACAGCCACGGCGTCAGGTCTAGGTGTTCAGCTAGCTAGGGAGTCCAGGAGTGAGACAGAGACGGTCAGTGAGAGTCTGCGGACAGGCAGTCACAGCGTCTACCGCCACTTGGATTGGAACAGATGGGTGCTCACGCTTACTATAAAAGTGCAAAGAACGACACTCTTCAGCACTACACCTAGTACCTGTACACCAGGGAGTCGTCAAATACCACTCCCTGCTGTACACTGTAGGCCTTGTGGCGTGCACCTCTACCTCCTAGTTTTGGCACGTCTGTCAAAGAGTGACAGCAAGTCGCCTGAGATCATCAGAACTGATGGCCGCAAAGAATCTAAAGATCAAGACCATCCGTGTCACTTTGCGAAGTTTGGATTGCCGAGTATGGTTTATTCGATCGATCCATCTGATCAGCGAAGGAAGCATTTGCGTGTTATGAAGCAGAGTTGGTTGGTGGCTGTTAGGAGCCTCGGACACTTTTCTGTATGCAAAAAAGTGGCACATGTTGTGCATTCGTGTGCGGTTGCGCCTCGCGGGATGAGTTTCTGTGATGTAGAAACTGGTGCAGCGACGATCGATGGCATGTGTGGACGGCCCTCAGTGACTGGAACTAGTACAAGTCATGACTGTATGTAACGTAACGACACGTCGTAACTAACTGTTACTTCCGATGGGTCGCATTGGGGTGGCAGTGGGTAACCATGGCATGAGTCATGACCTAAACTAAAGCCAGTAAACACTGGTAAAGGCTAAACTAGGCTACACGGGGCAGAACAACAGAGACCAAAAAATCTTTCTCGTAACTCCGAGTTTCGTGTTTCAAAAACAGGAAACTAGAACTTGGATACGTATAAAGGATAAACTCTTGCTCCACGAGCAGATCTAGTCCAGCCAGCCCTGCAGGCTGTACTCCTAGCTAGTTGTGTAGTGGCTTGGTGGTCAGCGACTATTGCACACTCGCAGCTCAACTACCTCTACTTGTTCACCTCGTTCAGACCAGAACGACGGACTAGTCCAAAAAATGTCAATGCCAATGTCACGGTGACTTTCACCAGTGCAGTACAGTTTCAGCCGAACACGTATGTGGTTATTAGTTGAGGACGCTAAATATTAGAAGTTTTTCTAGGACTGATTTCTATCAATACGAGTCCCGCATAAAAAGTTCTGACGATTCGAACCTCGAACTTAATTCGAAGTCTTACAATTCGAAGTTAGCAAAGTGTAATTCGAAGTTCACTGTACATTGTTCTGGTCAGTTCAGTTTGCATGAGCAGGCTGTGCCGCCAGTTCAATATCCGCGAAATCTGTGTCAAAGTTCCATAGCGCAACTCTGCGTGCACGCGTGACCATGAGAGCATTTTGACATACATTATTGTGTTGTGGGTTCATGTTTGGATAATTAGAATGTCCGGATAATTAGAAGTTTTTTCCTGGCATTTTGAGGTTCGAATTATCAGGATTCCACCTGCCCTTTGGGTCGGATTTCACCGAGCACAACTGTATGTGCACCTCCTTTCAATCATCATCAGATCAATATTTGTCAAGAGCATGAAGTGTAATACATTATGTTATCAACAAACAAACCCCTCAGGCAAACCGAGGTTCGGCAAAGGCAGCGGCTCAGCAGACCACAACAACATTCTCCAGTACCCGCTACAGTACAGACACGCTCAACACAGACCGTACAGACTACCATGGACAAGCAACCCGCAACACTGAGTCTGTACAACCAAACAAGAAATGGGATCACTGGAAAACGAACAAGCAGTGCTTCCTGAAAATCGACCAAAGAGAGTGACCGCAAAGACAAGTACCTCAGAAGTTTTTTTAAGTGTTATAGTTATTTCAAACTTGTAGCCTGTGTTGACAGAACTACCTGCTCTCAACCCAGATAAATATTAAATTTTCTCAAGAACCGTGACCGGAGTCTTTAAGTATCAAGTTAAAACCAACATTACTTATAAGTTATCAACCACCAAACAGTTTAAAAAACAGTATCTCAGGAGTTAGCGCTGACCTTGGACATCAGCTGCTGTGCACATCAACAAACGTACACCTGCATTATACACCAGGGAGGTTTGGTCCCACGTAATTGATACGGGGAACGTGGGTGATACACGTAAAGTTCCTGCAATGGACCCACGTTTGCAATGTTGTGTTTAGTCACACGGAACAAACAAAAGCATGAAGCGAAAGGCCCAAACCTGTTCAAAGACGAAGCTTAGAAGCTCATCGAATTATTTCGATTTCGTGCTTCGGAAACTTCTTCAGCTGAGCACCCTCACAGCTCACACAATGCGCTCCATTCTGATTTTCACCCACGTTCTGGCGGAACGTGGGTGAGCCTGGGTGAGCCTCCATACACGGTATGTCGTGAATCAGAAAACGCCTGTACGTGGGTCACTGAGTATCACGTGGTACACTCACGTAAAGTACCCACGGATTACGTGGGACTAAACCTCCCTACTATGACCAGGAGACCAACGCCAGGAGAAGTGTTCTCAGCCACGTGACCACTGAGGCTCGTTCACAGCTCTATACACCTGTGGATTCCTGCATATCACGAATAAGCGGAGTTGTCTCGCTAGGTGTGTCAGCAATAGTGTTGCAGGAGCCACTCTTGCGCACAAACGCACGTATACATTCATACACATCGAATGCAATGAATGCAAACCCGTTGGCAAGAAGGGCAAGAGCAAATATGGCTGCCGCATCTGGAAAGCCTACAACACCAGTGAGAGCGCTGCCAACAAGCGGTCCTATACCGATGCCCAACGAGAAGAAGGCCGTGATCATGCCAGCTGCAGTGCCATGTAGCTCTACCGAGTCAGTGAAGCCGGCCTTGTACAGTGCGTTTAGCATCCCCGGTGCCAGACATGTTTGCGACACTCCCGATCCGCCGCCCACGATGGCCATTGACAGCGTCGACCGCCAGAGTGCCGGTGTCAGGACACTTGCCGTCTTCACTGGTCCAAGTAGCACCAGTGCGCCGCCCTGGAGAAAGCTGCCGATGATCACCAGGTACTTTGGTTTGATGTAGCGATCGCCGACGTAGCCAGTGAGCGGTGCTGTGATTATATAGACACCGGAATGCAGTAGAAATATGAGCCCAACACGTGACGGGCTGATACCAAACTCATCGCGTAGATACGGTGAGATGCCGGGCTCAAGGAAACCTACGGCCGCCCCAGAAACGAGCGCTGTCACCAGCCACAGTGCGGACATGGGAAGCTTCAATGTAGCCATGAAAATGTCCTTGCTCTTTCTGTCCGCTTCAGTTTCAATGTCACCGGGCAGTACAAATAGGACGGCCGCTGCACTGGCAGCCATAATGCCACCATAGATGACGAATGGCAGGAGAAACCCGTGCTGGTCATAAATGCTACCCGACAGAGCCGGGCCAATAGCAAATCCCAGGCCATTGAAGCCGCGCAAGAGTCCCGAAACGAGGCTGATCGACGCGGGAAAGACACCGACGAGTAGGGCAAACGATGCAGTCTGCACGAATGCAGTACCAACCCCTTGCACTGCACGTAGAGCATAGCAAATGCCCAAAAACTGGGGCCAGTCATCAATGCGATTAACGAATCCAAACAGAGCAATCGAGCCGCTTATCATCATTCCACCGAGGATGACGACGATTTTCGGCCCACTGTGCGGCAGTATCTTACCAACAAACAGGGCTGTGAGGAATTCCATGAATGCTGTTATGCTGAATATGAAACCAATGGCTGACAGGCCTTCAACGCTGTTGGGATGGGGATCTTTCTGAGCTGCCTCTGTCGGAAAGAACGGTATCATGATGCTAAGGCAAATCATGGAGAACAATCCATTTATGCCGAGCACTAGAAAGATGACAGACCTGTGCAGGCGTGTGAGGGTTGGTGCTGCGCTGGGTTCTTTTTCGGTGAAGTCTGTACTGGCAGTGCTTGCGATGCCTGTCGCACACTGCGATCCATGACGATCTCCAACATGCTCATCGACCACGCTACCTCTTCGACGAGGATGATACACTATTGCCTCGTCATTATCGGTGGTGCCCAATTGTCCATTTTCCACCGTCTCTCCTGCCTGGCTGTCATGTGCCACCATACTCATACAGCTTGTGGTGTCAAATAATCTGGAAGCTGCTACGCACGTACTTGAGTTCGCTTCATCTCCCACAACCTTCAACAACTCCGGCTCTGCTGGATTTCTAGCACTACAATGTAGTACCAGCAGTGTTCGAACGATCAGTTGTCAGACTGCGAGTCGAGTCTCTGCCACTGTGCCAAGTAGAAGTCTGAGACTCATCGCGATCAGATGCTCAATTTTGATGGAGTACGTGTTGGTCTACATGACCGTTGTCTCATTGAACTTTAGCTCTGAACTTACCCGACTAGTCCACTATGTGCCAGCGTTGCTGTCTGAAGGGCTGCGGCTCTATCATAGATCTAGCGCACTGCTACAGCACTACTGCTAGCCCAGCACGGGTAACTCTCTCTGGAACTGTTGCCTTAGTTAGTTACACCAGCAATCCTCTTGCAGCTGTATGCATGTGATGAGCTGAGAAATCGTCGATTCCACTTCTCTAGTGCAGTAATGGAAGATAATCGCACGAGTTGAGTTCCAGGCCGTTCTGTTGGCTAGTCCGATTTTCTTCTGAAGGGACACCAAGCGGGCAGGAGGAGGGCTCACAATCCACACGTTGACCAAGCTCCAGAAGTCCGTGCACGCTAGGCCAGAACGCCTCACTCAGATTTAGTCTCTCTTCGTCGTCAAGAAAATAAGGGAGACAACTCGAGCCAAGCAAACAAAAGGGGAGTGGGCTTTCATCATGTTCATAGTCCCGCCCAATCAATGATTATGATTGTTTAGTTGGTTCGCTCGTCGCACGTGCTGTGCGTATTTATTTTTGAACCTGTACTTTGACATTGTCATGTACGATATGTGCAAACGTGATCATGTCAACTCAGATCAGGTGATTGTACACTGGTAGATACCAGTCACCATGGGCACAGTCAGACATACTAGTAGTAGTAGTATGATTATACCGCACACTACTCACTAGCGGCTCAAGAGACACTACCTCTTCTCTACTCTAGTCTTGGTTCACCTTGTTCAGACTAGAACGAGTTGAGGGTAGATCTACGTTCTAGTTTCCACAGCAGACGTGAACCTGATAACATAGCGGGTACCGGGTGTAGCGGTAGCTACTTAGAGTAGTTTCGCCTGAATGTTTATTGCAAAAGGGGGTACTTTGAAGTCCAAAACATGTCAATGCCGATGCCATGGTGACTTTCAGTCTTTCACCAGTTTCAGCTGATCAAGTCGAGGACACCAAATATGCACATGGGTCGGATTTCACCGAGCACAACTGTATGCGCACCTCTTTTCTTTCACTCGTGATCCCGACCAACATTTCTCAAGGACATGAAATGGAGCCTATATTAAAGTTACATGTATCAACAAACAAGCCCCTCGGGCAAACAAAGTCACAGTCACCACTTCCGCTGCATAGCTCGCTGAGCATCCCATTGCTTTGTAAGTTGCTAATCCCTTCCCACTTTGTGTACGTGCTCTTAATTTTCTTTTTTTCTCTTCTTCCGTGGTTGGTCTCACCCTCTCCTCAATTCAATTGGCTGTCTTGACATGCCACGAGGTGCAGAAATAAATACATAAATAAATAAAAATAAACCGAGACCCCAGAGTTTGGCAAAGGCAGTGGCACGGCAGACCACAACAACATTCTCCAGCACCACTACAGACATATTCAACACAGACAACCACAGGCACAGACAACCAAAAGGAAGAAGGGAAGACCAACATGGAGCTAGAAAACTAAAAACAAGCATCACCTCCTGCAAAGAGCAATATCAAAACTAATATCTCAGGAGTTATAAAGCCAGTGTTGACAGAACTACTTGCTCTCTCCTTTTACCTGTGACCCCTTCGTTGTTTGAAATTATTGGTGTGACTGTGAGTAATGGCTACCGAGGGTAGTGATGGTCGGCTTTAGAGCGCATGGAGGAGGAGAGTTTGTTGTATTATTCAACAGGGGAATGATACCGTTCACAGTTTTATTGATACTTGCTCTCAACCCCGATAAATATTTCTCAAGAACCTGACCGGAGTCTATAAGTTATCAACAAGCAAAAAGAAAAAAATATCTCAGGAGTCCTTGCTAATCTGGGACATCAGCCGCTGTGCACATCAGCAAACTTACACGGCTGCTGTGTACACTTGTGACTATGACCAGGAGACCAAAGCCAGGAGAAGTGCGCTCAGCACCGGGATCGTCCACAGCTCTATACACCTGTGGAATCCTGATTATCACGAATAAGCGGAGTGGTCTCGCTAGGTGTGTCAGCATTAGTGTTACAGGAACCACTCTTGCGCACAAACGCACGTATACATTCATAGACACTGAATGCAATGAATGCAAACCCGTTGGCAATAAGGACAAGAGCAAACATGGCTGCTGCATCTGGAAAGCCTACGGCACCAGTGAGAGCGCTGCCGACAAGCGGTCCTATACCGATGCCCAGCGAGAAGAAGCCTGTGATCATGCCAGCTGCAGTGCCATGTAGCTCTACCGAGTCAGTGAAACCGGCCTTGTACAGTGCGTTCAGCATCCCCGGCACCAGGCATGTTTGCGTCACTCCCAATCCGCCGCCCACGATGGCCATTGACAGTGTCGACCGCCAGAGCGCTGGCGACAGGACACCTGCAGTCTTCACTGGACCAAGTAGCACCAGTGCACCGCCATGGAGAAAGCTACCAATGATCACCAGGTGCTTTGGTTTGACGTAGCGATCACCGATGTAGCCAGTGAGCGGTGCTGTGATGATGAAGACACCGGAATGCAGTAGATATATGAGCCCAACGTGTGACGGGCTAATACCAAACTCGTCACGTAGATACGGTGATATTCCGGGCTCAAGCAAACCTCCGGCCGCTCCCGCAACAAGCGCTGTCGCCAGCCACAGCGCGGACACGGGAAGCTTCAACGCAGCCATGAAAATGTCCTTGCTCTTTCTGTCCGCTTCAATTTCAATGTCACCGGGTAGTAAAACCATGACGGCCGCTGTACTGGCAGCCATAATGCCACCATAGATGATGAATGGCAGGAGAAACCCGTGCTGGTCATAAATGCTACCCGACAGAGCCGGGCCAATAGCAAATCCCAGGCCATTGAAGCCGTGGAAGAGTCCCGAAACAAGACTGATCGATGCAGGAAAGATGCCGAAGAGCAGGGCAAACGATGCGGTCAGCTCGAATGCAGTACCAACCCCTTGCACTGCACGTAGAGCATAGCATATGCCCAAAAACTGTGGCCAGTCATCAATGCGATTAACGAATCCAAATAGAGCGATTGAGCCACTTATCAGCATGCCACCGAGGATGATAATGATTTTTGGCCCACTGTGCGGCAGTATCTTACCTATGACCAGGGCTGTGAGGAACTGCATGAATGCTGTTATGCTGAATACAAAACCAATGGCTGACAGGCCTTCAACGCTGTTCGGATGAGGATCTTTCTGAGCTGCCTCTGTCGGAAAGAACGGTATCATGACGCTAAGGCAAATCATAGAGAACACTGCATTTAGGCCAAGCACTAGGAATATGACAGACTTGCGCAGGCGTGTAAGGGGTGGTGCTGCGCTGGGCTCTTTTTCGGTGAGGTCTGTACTGGCAGTGCTTGCGATGCCCGTCGCACACTGTGATCCATGACGATCTCCAACGTGCTCATCGGCCACGCTACCTCTTCGACGAGGATGATACACTATTGCCTCGTCATTATCGGTGGTGCCCAATTGTCCATTTCCACCGTCTCTCCTGCCTGGCTGTCATGTGCCAGCATACTCATACAGCTTGTGGTGTCAGATATCCTGCAAGTGGGTTCGCTTCATCTCCCACAATCTTCAACTGCGACTCTGCTGGATTTCATCCATTATACATATACTCCATACTAGTAGTACCTGTCCAGGCTGTAGTGTTTGAAGGGCTAGTAGTCAGACTGTGACAGTGTGACAGTGTGAGTCTCTGCAACTGTGTCCGAGGCAAGTCGAAATCATCGCGATCAGATGCTCATTAATCTGAAGGACTACGTCTTGATCTACATGGTCGTTGTCTTGTTGAACGTGAGCCCTGCACTAACCGCTATGTGCCAGCGTTGTTTGCTGTCTGAAGAGCTGCGACTCTATCAATCATAGATCTAGCGCACTGCTACTGTACTATTACCATGATTGTAATGCAGCTCAGCACGGGTGACTCTCCCTGGAACAGTTGCCTTACTCGAACAATCCTCCTTTCAACTACAGATAACTTACTTACAGATCTTCATGTTACGTGTCGGTATAATGATAAACTGAGAAATCGTCGACTTCACTTCACTAATGAAAGATTCTCACACGACTGGAGATCCAGGCCGTTCTACAGACTACAGACTACAGTCCGGTTTTCTTTCGCAGGGATACCAAGCGGGCAGAAAGGGGAGGGGGGGGGGGGCAGTCAAAATCCACACCAGTCCATGCAGGCGAGGACGCCTCACTTTCTTCGTCGTCGAGCAGAGAATGGAGGCAAACAAGCAAACAAGAGGGGAATGCACTTTCACAGTCCCACCCAAACCAGGGAGTCGTGAAAAAGGTTTTCACGACAGTCGGACTCCGTGGTCCCACCCAGGGCTGAGGCCCAATGAGTGTGATTATTCACCATGGTCCCAGACTCCATACATCCTATGATCTGCCTGGTAGATCTACACGTCGTTACCGGAACCTTCTATTCCTAGTTTTAGGTGACAGAGCTAGGCCCAGAGGCCTGCACTCTGGCTGCAGCAACAATGATTACCGGTTACTTACAGTACACAGCGCATACGTATTATACGTTGTCACTAGGCCTGTCCGAAAAATGTTCTGAATTTTTTTTGCATTTTGGGGTGCATTTTGCATTTTTGCATTTTTCTGAATTTTGCCCATTTTTGGTCGAATTCCAAGGTTTCAGCCAAGGTTTCAGCTCGACCAAGTCAAGTTCGGCTTGCTATTTCGGTGTCTTCTGTCCCTCTTGGCTGAGACACAAGACTTACTTAGTTGCACTGGCCTCCTAATCACACAAATGGGAACACGTGGGTGTTTAGTTCTACATGTACATGTATATGCAGGTGTTATAAAAACAACAAAGATTATGTTCTAGTAGTAGTAAATTGTGTAGTATACATGGTATAGGTAGTATGCAATCCAGCAAGCGTAAGGCAACACATGTGACTTGCAATGGTGAGAAAATGATTAGCTTTGCAGGCGTGTCAGGCAATGTCAGCAAAAGGGGTGACAAGATTATGACCATGCAGTGCGTGTACACATGACATGATTAGAGGTACATGTACTAGCAAGGCAGGGATACTATTGTATACATGTACAGTGTGACATGGAAATTTTTTGTGATCACCATGGCATGGCGGCCATTTTAGATTCTGGTTGCCATGGCAACGGATGCATTTTCTCTGCGTTTTGGGTTGTTTGGCTTTGATTTTTTGATTTTTTTTACATTTCCCTTTGATTTCTTGTTTGAATGTTGGCTGGAAAACCGTGCATTTTGCATTTCCATTTTCCGCAAATTAAAACACATTTTTCGGACAGGCCTAGTTGTCACTCATCAGAGTCATACAGATTGATGGCTCGTGCATGATTTCTGCGCTGACGTTGTTATATAGTCATGTGTAGATCTACATTGCAGTCCTGTCAAGTGTCAGTACCTGTCCACCATGCATGTGCAGCGTCTAGAGGAAATTTATTCTTTCACTTGGCCATTGCATTGGTCTGGCGTTGCATGGGAGGTTTTAGCCGGCGATCTGCTATTCCAGCTCGACTAGGATAGGCAACTGACTACGTTGGCTTGGTAACGATGAAATAGCGGCAGCGTAAACTAACGCACCATGTCCGTTTCGCGCACCGATTGGGATTTGCTGGTAACAGAGGTGAGCATGAGAGAAACTCCGGAAGAAATATTCGTATTGCATTAATTATTTCATCCATCAAGGTCGCTGTGTATTCCATTGTGCAAGTGATACTTTGACACAGGGATCCTTTGACCTCATTTGCCTGAATGCACGACGAGTATGCACATAGGACCGTAGCATTTGAACGAGGGCTATCAACACTAGTGAAGAAAATATTTTCTTAAAGGGGAAGTATACCCTAAAATCAAATTTTCACCAGTTGTAGTCTTCGGGGTGCTGAGTCGAATGGTTTTGGTCCGAGGAAGCTGAGACGCTCCCTTCCTACTTGAATCCCAATCGAACTCGCGCACTTCCACCGAAACTGGGTGACTGCGCCCTACTAGATGGGGATTTGTATGCAAAATGTCACTAAAAGCGCCATTTCGTTCTTATAAAAGCACGGATGACCGCGATTGGCCCATATGTTGTAGTCTTTTGGACGCTGAGTCGACTGGTTTTGGTCCGAAAAGGCTGCGATGCAGCGTTCCTCCTTTATTCCCAATCGAACATGGTTGAACAAGCGGTCACGTGCTCCTGCGTACGCCAGTCACCTGGTCACCGTGCCTGCAGGGTACAACTTACTAGCCTGTTTGACCTTTTTTGGGTGCAGTCCTGTCACTTGAGTTGAACCTTGGTGTGAAAGTTGTCGCCTGCTGGCGTGGTGACCAGGTGATTTGGGCACCCAGGAGCACGTGACCGCTTGTTCAACCATGTTCGATTGGGAATAAAGGAGGAACGCTGCATCGCAGCCTTTTCGGACCAAAACCAGTCGACCCAGCGTCCAAAAGACTACAACATATGGGCTAATCACGGTCATCCGTGCTTTTATAAGAACGAAATGACGCTTTTAGTGACATTTTGCATACAAATCCCCATCTCGTAGGGCGCAGTCACCCAGTTTCGGTGGAAGTGCGCGAGTTCGATTGGGATAAAAGTAGGAAGGGAGCGTCTCAGCTTCCTCGGACCAAGACCATTCGACTCAGCACCCCGAAGACTACAACTGGTGAAATTTAAATTTTTGCCTTAACTTCCCCTTTAATTAACAATTGTGCAATGTTTGGTGCATTTTAATTTTTTTTAATACATGATTGGTACCATCGCCGCACCTCCATGCAAGGCTTAACGTATACTATAACGGGAGGCGCAGAGACGCTAGACAAAAATTTATATTGGGAGCTTGCACACCATTGTGAACCTGATGAAGGCAATTTGCCGAAACGTTGGAATGATTATTGTGAAACGAGTTGAAGTATTGCAGTGTCAATGGAAGAGAGCGTGTAGGCTCTACTCTGGACAAAAATTAATAGTTGCCAAAAATGCACCCACTGCCATACATCATCCAAAAAGGACCAAAATAGGTTTGCACTTTGCAGCAATAGAGCCCAGTGCGAATAGAGCCTGTGGCTACATGCTTATGGAGACCTATATCAGCTTGAATGCACAACTGCATGTATCCCCAGCTGCATGCAGTGCACCATGACGGATTTCACTGGCTATAACTATCCTTACAAGCAGTGTTGGCACGCACTTCTTATCTATTCAAATGAAAACATTTTGGCATTTTGGCACCGTCCATTCTGTGTTAGGTTATACCTGTGCTGGGTGTGTTAGGCTGTCCCTGCGGGAATTTGCGGAAAAAATCTCGAAAACTTGCGCAAGAAATTGCGGCAGAAAGTAACAAAAAATGCGACGAAAAGTGCGGAATGATGCAGAACTTGCCAGGAATTCGCGGAATTATTTGCAGAATATTGCGGATTTGGGCCAAATCACGAAATTTGTTGCATCGTATATCTACTCGGGACAGTCGGGAGTCGTACCGTGCAAATAACCTACAGGATCATGGAAAGAACTGCGTGAAAAGTGCATAAAATGTGAGATTTAGTGCAGAAAACAACAAAAAACATGGGAAATCGTGGATTTTGCTGAAAATCGCGGGTTTGGGCCAAAATCGCGAAATTATTTGTTGCATCCGTGGAATCGCGATTTCCTGGAGGGACAGGTTAGGTCATACCTGTGCCGGGTGTGTTAGGTTATACTTGTGCCGGGGTCTACTCATACCACTGTGCAGACTGTGCGTGATGCAGCACGCGGCCTTGATACATTTGGAAGAGTTTGTAACTGAAGTAGATTGTACAGATACGAGGTGTGTTTGATTACCCAGGCCCTCGATAGGAGTGAGCAACTGGAACAATAAGCGCATTGCGAAAATCATGTGTAGTCGATTAAGCGACCTGAGTGATCATGAGCATTCGAACTGCACAAGGCTGTTCCAGATGTTACGATTGCAGTAGAACCAGTACAGGAAAGCATGGAGCAATGCTGTTGCAAGGCTGCTCTGGACCAGTGGCGGCACACATGAACATACACATACACAAGATAACGTTAGCCATGCATTCATCAGGTTCATACATCCAGTGTTATTGATGGCTCGGCCTACAGCCATACCTTATCAAGTGTTAAGTTAGTGATTTGGGATCGATAAAGCAACCAATGCTATTGCCATCTTCCTTTCATGTTTGTGCTTCCCAATTGCTTGACCTCAGTACAAGGCTGTGAAGAAGCAACTTCGCAGCAAACAAGAGGCACTCCGCCTTCTTCAGCAACAAGTTAAGACCTTGGAAGAGGACTGCCTTCGCTTCAAGGAGATCGCTAAACAGGTATTGCTACAGGTTCAACCACTGAATTGTATTCCAACACGTGTTCCTATATGCTGTTTGAATCATGTACTAGCTATTCAAGTATACAGTGATGCTAATCCGTTTGAACTCTAATAAGCAATCCGCGTAGTTAATGCTTGTGTTCAACTATGGAGACTGAGTTTCTGTGGACGTCTATATGCTTGCCTTGTAGAGTCCTGTCCATGAAGGTCCACAGCCATTGCCACCCAATCAGCTCGCAAAGCCATCTACTCCTAGCACTGCCAGTGCCAGCAAGTGGCTAAACTCTGATCCAGGTTGGAAGAGACCGACGGGTGACAGCGGTGAGCAGATAGCTGGCCTGGAGACTCAGCTTGATGCACTCACATTCCAATACAGGGAGGTTGTGCAGGAGAAACAGGTAAGTCATTGCTCTGGCGCTATTCCACCCAGTTTCCTAGCGTGCCATTCAAACACCTCTGAGGTGTCAACGTTTGAGACATGCCTGCCTGCTGCAGAGTGTGAAATCGATTGGCTCTGTGACTATGAGTGCAAAAGTAGATTATTAGTAGATGATCGATCTTAAATATTTTGAGGCTCCACTGCCGCCGACTAATCATCACTTAAAACTGATAACACCACCGCCACAACGGTCTTAGAGATGCTGCCATTCCAAAAGCATTATATGTGTCTCCAAATGTGCGCCCCTGGGGATTCACCAGGGGGTACTGTTTTTTGGAATTGCCCCGTCTAAGACCGTAGTGGCAGTGATGGTGTTAAAGGTTAAAAGTAGGGGATGCCCAGCAGATTTCATGATTTTTTTAATCTGTACAATCTACCCGCGCTACAAGCTCTTCCAAATTGATGAAGCCCCGCCGTGTGTTACTGACGTGTGTTACAGCACCATGCACAGGTTGCACACTGCTATAAGTGGACACCGGCTCGGGCATTACCCGGCTAACCCAGCACGGACTGTGTTGCTGTCCCCATTCATATGTTCCAGGCGTTACAGCAGCGAGTGGAGCGACTCGAAGCAGCCAACAGGGAGAAAGGCGTGCAGGGTCTTATCAGCGAGCGAGACAAGGCACTGAAGGAACGCAATGAGTTGGTTGAACAGCTTGAGAAAGCACGAACACATGTGAGCTGGCATACAGAATACAACTATTGACCTGGGCTGCAAACGTTGTATGCATGTGTTGCAAGTTGTTATGTACATGTATGCTGGGTGATATGATGTCACTAGTTGTGTGATATGATGTCATTAGTTGTGTGATATGATGTGACTAGTTGTGTGATATGATGTGACTAGTTGTGTGGTACAGTCGTCCCTCTCTAATCCGGCACTTTATAATCCAGCACCCTCGATAAACCAGCACAATTTTCAGTAGCCAAAATGTCCTCTTCATGCACATTGCAGCAGTAAATCAGATTTGTTAATCCAGCACCCTCCCTAATCCAGCAGATTTTCGTGGCACAAATGGTGCCGGATTATAGAGCACTGTATAATGTAACTAGTTGTGTGATATGATGTCATTAGTTGTGTGGTATGATGTCATTAGTTGTGTGATATGATGTCATTAGTTGTGTGATATGATGTCATTAGTTGTGTGGTATGATGGGACTAGTTGTGTGATATGTTGTGATTGATGTGCCAGTACTGCAGTAGTTATGCGATATGATGTAACTAGTGATTGTTCTTGAATGCTATTTGCAGGCGAGCGAAGTGCAACTCGACCTGGATTCCTGCCGTGAAGAAGTCGAAGAAGCGACAAGAGAGGTAAATCGCTCTCTCTCTCTCTCTCTCTCTCTCTCTCTCTCTCTCTCTCTCTCTCTCTCTCTCTCTCTCTCTCTCTCTCTCTCTCTCTCTCCCTCCCTCTCTCTCTCTCTCTCTCCCTCTCTCACTCTCTCCCTCTCTCCCCCCTCTCTCTCTCTCTCTCTCTCTCTCTCTCTCTCTCTCTCTCTCTCTCTCTTTCTCTTTCTCTCTCTCTCTCTCTCTCTCTCTCTCTCTCTCTCTCTCTCTCTCTCTCTCTCTCTCTCTCTCTCTCTCTCTCTCTCTCTCTCTCTCTCTCTCTCTCTCTCTCTCTCTCTCTCTCTCTCTCTCTCTCTCATATACAGATGCAAAAAAACGCACACACATACGCACACACATCGTGAATTCATTGGGAATGGATCAGTTGGAATGACCCTTATGCACTGCTGATATATTGCACTACATTCTCTGACATTTTGTATTTTGTACTGTAATGCCTGGATTCATGTTGTCCTCTTATGAATCTCAGAAAATGTTCTTCTCCGGCAAGTGCGACCGACTGAACAAGCAGCTGTTACGGTGTATTCAGGAAAGGAAGTCATCTCCAGAGCCGGAAGCGGGAGAGTTCGTGGACATTGATGCCATGCAGCTTGAGAACAAGTGAGACTTTGATACAATGCACTGTGCTTGTAGTGAGTCTCATGCAAACCTGAGCACTGGCACGCGCCCGATCCAAAAGGACCGAAGCACCGCATTGCCCGCCAACGAAATATCCAAAGTTCATGTAGATGGTCTGGAGAATCTTCCGACACAGCATTCATTTTTTGCAAAGGCACCTTGCACGTGCCAGTTTGCAGTATCCGTGCCCAGTACACACATGTGCCCACATCCCCAGGAAATTCTCTCCACACAGTCGATTGACTACGAATGTCTAAAATGTTAATAGTTTATAATTATGAAACTTTTCAGGCCGGGCCATCTCCAGGCTACAATGCAATCACAACATCTTGGAGAAATGCGTCACGGATGGTCTGCATTCTTGCCGCGATGATTTCAAAAACCGATGCCTCTCTCCTCTCTGCGCAGGTACCTGAAGGAGAGGCTGGCCAAAAGTGGCGAAGAAAAACAGGAGCTGATTGAAGCTATGTCGAAAAGTGTGAGTGCCTGCACAAGCTTGTGGTGAAGCCTATACATTTTTAATCAAATGCTTTGCTATTGTCTAGCCGTCAGCCAACAGCGCAGTGCATGTGACCGTGTGCTACTGAGAGGTGCAATGCCGACACTTTTAGGCAGTCTTTCTTTGTCTTGTCAGCTCTAGAACTGCTGCCGTGGACATTGAAATCCGATGGAATGACTGAGATCGGCGCCCTTACAGCTCAGTTTAGCACGTGCATGCACTGTATACACGTAGTTCACATACAGACTATAAACATGGACCAGCAGTGCTCGCAGCTGCAAGGCCAACGTCCCGTGGCCGCTTGAATTCTCAACAGATTTCAATCGGTCTGCGAAAGTACATCCACACTGATCTGTTTCAGTACCAGAATGCGTGACCGTGCCATTTGATGCTTTGGGTTTCCTTTCTGTACAAAATCATCATTTTTACAAGGATGCCAGAAAGTGATTTCGTCCTTAGCGTCTCTTTATAGTTCTAGGGTTGATGCGTGATGTCACCCATTCCTGTTCTATTTCTTCACAGAAGCAGCGGGCACCTCGACTTCGACAAGCATTGCGCAATGCGACCGCTGACATGAGCAGTGCTATCGGTAGAAATGACCCGAAAGGTAACTTATAGCAATGCTTCAAATTGCACCCACACCGAAAAAGATACTTCAAAGTACCTGAATCAGCACAGTACAAGTGAACAGTGGACAAGAGTGGTTCACCCAACTCAGCCACGACACACCTATTGTTGTGTGCTTTTTAAGAGCGAGGCATCAAGCCTGTTCCTGATGTAGGGGTGTTTGCTTTTGGGTCTTAACTGTGTGTACAAGTTAGTGCTCTCCGCTCGGTGGCCATGTCCATCAGCAATGGTTTGTTCGTCCTGTTTCCTATGCAACAGACCATACAGATGTGGGTGCACACACCACAGCAGTGGGTAGCACTGGTAACAGCGCCGGTGCTGGAGGTAGCGGAGGCAGCAAGACAATGAAGAAAGTCTACTCCCTGCGTTCGACCATTGCTGACCTACAGGCGATGGTGGCGACTCTGTCCGACTCTCTTCGCGACAAGAACCTGGCGCTGCAGCATTCCAAGGCCGTCAACAAGTAAGTCACATAGACATGCTGCTTCCTGCTGATGGCATTGCCTCTCTGGAGCCATACAGATAACGTTTGTGTCATCGTCTCCACTTGACTGCCTGCACTTCCATGAATGTCTTACTTATGCCATGTGCATTGAGCATGTGCATTGCATACTTGAGCTGTGTCCGTAACTGTGTATACTGACATATGCTACACTTCGTTGTTACTCCCATGTCTTCACACTCGGCTTCTGCCAATAGCTATAGTAATAGCCTCATTCTAGGGTGCATAGGAACAATACATTCTCTGGGAGAGTCCCCCTACGTACTCATATATAACAAGGCTGTAGTGTGCTGGCAAGCAACGCAGATAACTGAAGAGGGAGCACCGCAGATCACTGAGCAGGGAGCACCCTCTAACACCAGGGAAAATTCAAATAACACAACATTGCGGCGACACATGAATGTATTTTAAGAGAAGCAATTCATCCACACAATAGTGTTGAGGCACTGCCCTTTTATTTCTCCTCTTTTCCACAGGACTCTGGCCCAGCGTGTTATGGCCATGGAGCGGAAGCTGGGCAGTAGTGCTGTCTCCACGGGCACGACCAATATAGCCACGTCACCGCTTGTACCCGCATCGCAAGCAACAGTGGCGGTTCAAGTCAACAGTGATGACAACATGTACTCGCCTTTCACATTGCCAAGTGTGGCCGGATCTCAAGGTTAGATTCTCCATTGTTGTATGACGGTGAACGAGCTTCACGTGAAGTGCAACTGAGGCTCCCTCGACGTGCTGCTAACAGGCTGTAGTTGCTGTTCTGGACGTTGTGCAGAAAGTCAGAATCCTGTCTTACCGTAGAGTTTCAAATAGGAGTGGCAACTGTGCTGAATGCTGACGGACGGTCCAATATGGAAATTTGTCGTTTGCAGTGTGTTTATTAACCCTTTATGTACTGAAAAAATGTACACAGACTGAATTTGATCTCGACTCACCTCAAATTCCATAATTATCCGGGTCATAACTTTAGTCTCCTTTTGACGATTTTTTCAATCTTGGGCTTCCTGGAAAGCTCGTCGCAAGAGAAACACATTGAGCCCACGCTTGCCACCACGAAAGTCAAAACGCCAGCGCTACAGCCCAGCGTCTTAGCAGCAACGCCAACATTCCGACAGAAGTCGTCTTGCATCAGCCATTTCGCTCTCCTTGCTCGTAACAAGTAACTGTTACTTAAAAAAAATTCACAAGCTGCCACGAGTCAGTTTGCCATTTTGAACGTGTTTCTACGTCACTGCATGCCCAGAATGACGGGGAAATCCCTCATTCAAATCTGCGCGAGCGGCTATTGAGCGACATTTGCCGCGATTCGACTTTCGAGCTTCGTAACTCTGGAACCACACATCGGAGCGCTTCAGCAATTATTTCAATGGACAGCTGGGAGTTTTCTCTTCGACCTACATATTTTAGTTTTCGGATATAACCCAGAAATGACTGAGTTACGATCGATTGAAATTTTGAAAAGTTTCGATCCCAGGGGATCGAAAGTTGTACAGTCCGTACACAAAGGGTTAATAATACTGATTATCTGAGGGTTGCTGCGAGGGACTTCAGCATACGTGTCCAACTCTCCGTTCGCGTTTAAAATGAACATTGACTCCTGGATTTCTAGTATGCAGTGAATTATCATGCCCTGTACCATCATATGCACTCCCCATACTGATCTACAGTGAGACCGGTGTAATATATCCAGAATATAATCATCAGTTTGAGGTGAAATTGTAAACGGGAAAAGTCTGAAGAAAAATTCACTGTCACCACCAGGACTCGAGCCAGGGACCCTCGCTTATGGCCAGTGATGCTCCGAAATCCTTTTCTACAGAGCTGCATTTTGAGTTCAGAATCAAGGACAGGTGAGACGCTGTAAAGAGGGTACCGGCGGGAACAGTAAAAATGGATTCATCGCGCACTATTCGTGATAAAAAATTGCACCCATCCCTCTCTGTCAACTATAACAACCCTCAAGGAACTCGAATGAAAACGCAAATGTCAGGTTTTCGGTTAGAAATTTTCAAAGTTCGATCAGTATGTTGGTGTGTTTGTTATGCTGCTCTGTGTGTAGGTCATGACTCGGCTTCCGGTGATATAGATCTAGCAGACTTAGCTGCCACACAACAAACGCAGCAGCTACGTGAAGCGAGCGTGGTGCCCACCGATGCCGGTTCTAACATGGATTCGTTTGCGGAGATGTACAACCAACTTGGTCTTGATAGTCCTGGAAATCCAGATACCCTAGCAGGAAGAAAAGACAGAAGGATCAATGATGATGATGATGATGATGGTGACGATGAAGGCGATGATGACGCCGTTGAATGGCAGCGGGAGCAGATTGAAGCCGACCAGTCCCTGGGCATTGCAAGCAGTCTTGGCCTCTCGTTTGATGGCGGCGTATCATCTGAAGCGAGCAATAGCATGGTTGCTGGTGACTGTGACAATCACCAGGAACAGCCCAGCAATGCTGTAAGGCAGACCTTAGACCGCATTGACGAGAACACCGGCGTAGCACATAACCTTGAGTATGCGTCCAGTGGAGATGGAACAGAGTCTGTGCGGCCCACTGGCAAAGAAGATGCCCTGCACAACGACGAAATCCTAGTTCCGAAATCGGACAGCAATACTGACAGTGACGATGAGGAAGACACCGACTGGCTGAACGTCCCGGCAAAGACGGCATCACCTCTTCTTGGAGTGTCCAGCAGTGATGCGGTCACCACCGGCGACGGCGACACTGACGACCAACGTAAGACTGCCAAGTTCACTGAAAAATCCCGCCTGCTGCCCGGACGGAAGCAGGAGCCGAAAGCACAGTATGGGGGCGGGGAGCAGACTCCGTAACAATCCATCTCTCACTACTCACCAGCAATCACGCCGACTCCTGATACGAAACTATCCACGTTTATTGACTCCGAATTATGAAGTGATGTAGCCAGCTCAGTGTTACGGCCATGGATAGCATCGACCATGTTCTGCATTTTCCAGTTTGTCAAATGCTACAATACCGCTCAGCTTTCGATCTTTTATTAGTGATTCCTGCTTGCAGGCGGTTTGAGCCAAGAAGCCGAATATTGCCCCTACCAAACCTTAGCCCAAGGCCTTGTTTTACAGCAGACATGCAGCTTTCCTGAATCTATTTTCAGTTCCTGTTTGGAATCTATAAAGAGTTCACCAACACTAATGTGTTGTGTTATTTGCTCAGAATTTTGAATGATCATGCCTTGACTACTGAAGCTGATGACCCTCTCCGTGCCAATGTCAGGGCCCAAAGCAGATTTATCCTTTATTCCAGGCAATACAGTAGAATGCTTATTCATGATTCGAACCTGAACAGTGAACTATCACTGACCGATCCGTTGTCCGAATTCCTATTGTACTGAATCGAAGGGACCTACCTACCTTCCCCCGCCCGAAGCACCATTCCAAAGGTGCACAGGATGTGCGACAACATATTTTCGTCAAATTATTTCCCTCCCTTCGCTGCATTCATGTTTCACTAGGGCAGTATACAATGGTATAGGGACCCGACGGACCCGCAATGTTCTTTTTACTTTACTACTACATTATGGAGTGGTGATCTTTTTCCGTGAGCATCTTGAGTTCAAATGATACTTTGCAAGTACATGTACATGTGCTACGGCTTTGGCCGAAGCGCTACAGTACAATCTGGACACTGCGGGATATGGTAAAGCGGAACTAACTTGTTTACTAGCACTAGCGCCTGTTCCGATGGTGCATGTGCATACCGTTATGTGTACACAGTGTACAGGGGCGTAGCACCCGCTACGACTGGTACGACCATGGCCGTACCACTTTTCGAAAAGTGTGGTCCGTCCGGAACGTGCAAAACCGTAATAAAGAAATCAGGATCCATCGATGCATATGCGCATCAGACTTTGACCTTTTTCTAGACTCGTACTCGTAGATCTGCCATGCATCTGTGCATGTCCATGCGCGTCTCTTCTGCCCGTGAAATAATTATTTGACTTATAAACTGTGCCAGAAGTTCCCAGAACGCAGGATTTTGTGTCTTTTTTACAAATTTTCCCGGGGGAGGTCCCCCGGACCCCCTCCAAAAAGGCCTTCGGCCGCGCCGACCTTTCGTCGTACCACTTCCAAAACCCCTCCTACGCCCCTGGTGTATGTGATAGTCCGCATGATCCGGGTTTATTCCGTATCCAACTTGCGCCGTCTACATCCCTACCAAAAGAAGAGAAAGGTTTTACTGTACTTTTAATGTAGTTAGTGAAAATGACTACGGTACTAGTTTTAGCCGAGTTTCCTACGCTGTAGGAGCACCGATTTCATGCATGATAAGGGTTTTCCAAAAGCGACCACACAGCCTGTCCGCGACCAAGCGCACAGTGCAGTGTAAAACTATCCGAAATCTCAGAGAAAAACGTAGACTACTGGGCCGGCCATAGGAAGCTGAAAAGTGAAAACCGGTGTGTAGATCTACATGACTGTATATACATGTACACTAGTCTGGTAGTGCGTCCGCGATGCCCAGTTCGTGGTAGCACGCCGCGCACACCGACCCGGGCTAGCCGGCTGTGCACCATGCACCAGCACCAGAGTACCGATCCCGGGGACGATGCATGGCCGGCCATAGACCACGTAACCATGGTAACATGTTCATGTAAATAATTATTTGCACTTTGGTAAAAAATATTAATGGTGCGCGTAATGGTGCGCGAAAATATTACAGGCATGTGCAAAGTCTGTAGTGTAGTATTTTCAAGGCGATCCGCTAACCATGATGATGTCGGTGCACGCAAAGAACCTCCTTCGTTAGGTTCGTGATGATAACAGATTGATTGATGCGGCGGTGGAGCTGAGCAATAATACGAGGTTGAGTCAATCGATTCCTCTTGCATGCGGGCAAGCCCCTTCAGTTGCTCTTGGTGCGATGCAGCAGAAGCAACACATTCCCGTTGCCGCTGGGGCCAAACCTACGACAACGACGAGCAGGCAACGTTCACAAGTCGGTGGCCAGGAAGCCTTGCAAGATGAATCGCCGATGCGATTGTTCGCAGAAGGTTGGATTCTGTGTTTCCACGGCTTATGGGCTGCGCTGCAGCTGACAGTTGGCTGTGGCTCCAGAATGGCCAGAGGACGTGCCAGCTCGTCGAACAAACTCTTGGCAAACGCCATTGTAATAGTAGTCCTACTTATTCTTTTGGCGCTGTATTTGTTTACGAGAGGAAGTTCTGAGAGCATAAGCAGTGGCCCTATGCTATATTCTGTTGATGGGAGCAACAGTTTAGAGAGAAACGTTGGTATTGGACGCAGTATTCATCGCTCTCAGCTGGACACCGTGGGTGTGGAACGTCACAGACAGTGGGAAGGCGACGTAGCTGATCGTATGGCCGCACAGCTTCAGCAGCAGGACACTGGTGGTGGCGGCCCGTTCGTGAACGGCGGCTCGTTTCACGGGCGGATGCCGGCCGCAGTAGGTGGCGCCATGAAGATGTCGAAGAACTCGGGCACCGGCGGATGTCCTATGCGGCGGCCCGAAGAGGACGGATCGTCTCTAGCGCTGCTTGGGCGTAGGCTCAGCGTGAGCGTAGTGCACAATGAGCTGCTGGAGAAGCTGGACCTGCACACGGCACTGCAGCACATGATGTGCCGAAAGCAGGCCGGCTTCCAGGCAGTGCGTGCGCTGGTGTTTGCGTGCCAGCTGCGCAACTGCTTCAACTTCACGACGGGCCTGCGAGGCGTGCTGCTGGCCTACCTACTGGCCGTCATGACCAACCGCGCGTTCTTCATCCGCGCCGAGACCTGGATGAACTTCCACTCCCATCTGCAGGTGTCACCGTCGTGGCGCGCCATCGACTGGCAGATCGACGGCTGCACGTGGGCGCGCATGAAGGACGAGAAGAAGCTGCACAGCACGCTGTGGAATAGCCGCATACTCAGCTACGTGACACAGCGCGACCCTTCCTGCGACCGCATACTCAACTACTTCAAGATGCCGCCGAACATCCTGGGCATCATGACCGACCAGGACGTCAACTGCGGCTACAAGGTCTTGGCAAAGGGCAACCTGGAGGTGTCGCGCGTCGTGCACCGCTCGCCCTACAGCATGGCCTTCTCGCGACTGTTCTCCTTCTCCGACGAAGTCCTCCACAGTGAGTACCGGTTGCAGAAGGAGTACGACTGGCAGCCGGAGAAGTCCATATGCCTTCACGTGCGCACCGGTGCGTTCCCGAATCAGGACACGGCCGGCAATGGACACCGGAACGTCGCCGACTTCTGGCAGTGCGCCCGTGCCCTGGAGCAGGCCGTCGGGCTGGACACGCAGAATGGCGTGTCGTGGCTGGTGATCTCCGACAGCGATCAGACGCACCACAGCGCAGAGAAGTACCTGGACGGTGAGTGCAGGGGTCCGGGCCAACGTGTCGTGCTCAGTCCCAGCCTGGTGGTGAACGACGCGGCAACTCCGCAGCACGACCGGAATGCCAACGCGGACGGTGCCAAGCGCATGTTCCTGGACATGCGCCTGCTGTCGCAGTGCCAGTACACGGTCCTGTCCAAGTCAGCTTTCGGCACAATGGCCGCCAGTATCATCAGCGACCAGCAGCATCTCTCCAGTAAGCACCACGTACTGGTGACGGAGCAGGAAATCGCTCACGACAAACCGCTATCACAGCTATGTAGACGAGTCATCCCTGACTGGGACTCCTTTCAGTATCCATAGTCCGGTAGCGGGTCAGTGTTCAAAAGTATCCGTTAGTTTGCAGAACGTCAGTATCTGTAGGCTGGCGGCAAGTCACTATAGGACAATGACATGCTGCTATGCTCAAGCCGGTGATGGCATTCAGGCCAGCATTATCTATACAGTCGGCCTGGTCCGCCCTGCAACGTTGCGCGATGGGCATGGCACAGCTCCCCAACCTCGACGTGGTGGCATGAGCAGGATGAAGCCATACCATCTCCAGTCCGTGTCTTTGGCTAAACTGAGTGTCCAACATTTGTAACCCGCTGGCCAGTTTGAGTGGCTGTTGACTGCTTAGCCGGCATGCATTCAGCTGTGACAATGTCACTCAGAGTGGCTGTGTGCCAGTGCAAGTACTGGCTATACACTCCTGGGCAAGGTGTTGTGGATTCAGTGCGAGTAATTTTCGGGAGCTAGACGTTGTGTCCATGTGGATAGTGGCCCATTAGTGTCTCTTCAAGCGAAACACGAATGTCCCTTGGGCCTTTCCGAGCTCTTTAGTCGAACCGTACTGAGTAGGGTGCTGCCATGCATCACAAACGGCAGTGCTCACGTCTTCCTCGTGTAGAGTGCCCTGCAGTGAAGCAGCAGGGCGCTCAACGAACACATGCTGCAGTGCACAGCTGACGCTGGCCACCTCTTTGCGCCTCTACCATCTACTTCATGAACGCCCATGTAGCCACCGCAACGACAGGACTGAGGTGTTTCAACCAGTACCAGTGTCTCTATAATCAATCCTCCAAAGCAAGTATTCTAGGTGCGTGTACTTCACGCCATAATGTGTCCAAACATATTTTCTATGAAATATATTTAATATCCAGTCGGTGTTCATAACCCACCGCAGTATTTTCCGGCAAATTTCTTTTAAAAACAGACCCTCCTTTTCCGACCGGAATATGTTTTCTTCCTCAAGCTTTTGTCTCCTCATTGAAGTCAATGAATCAAACTCACATTTCGCTCTGGAACTCACGCTGTATTGATTGCCGGGGGGGGGGGGGGGGGTGCGGCATGAGGGGGGGGGGGGGGGTAGTCATTGTTTTTGATGCTGTCTATGATTTCAGTCCAAATTCTTGCAATACCTGGGTGCTGCTTAGTACAAGCAAGATTGCACCGACCCGTATCAGTCACGGGTGCGATGTGGGATGGGGCACAGACTTGAATGGCAGAGTGTCATAATTACCAGGCATCAGCGTAATCTGATAGACATTCAAAATTATAATTACGGTATAAAGGAAATTTTACTCTCAATTTGAGAGTCTCAATGCATTGAGCACTGGAGTTAAGTCGGAGTCGACTCTACTGTTTTGCATAGCTCAGGCAGTCGTGTAATATATCTCCGAGGTGTAGCTGTACATTGCACTTGTTGTTTATCGCAATCCTATTCTCCCACATGTCACCGGAATCCGTTCACAACTATTCCAGGGACTGTTTAACATTGAGTTTGTGCCAGCTCACGTACTTTTTTTTGTGCTTGAAACTGTAATGTAACGAGAAACGACGTATTTTATTGCATGGTACACTCTACACTTATTATGTTATATCTCTCTTATCTGGACCTTGGAGTTACGGGCACTTCGGTCCACCGGGCACCCTGTGGGTGAGTTCTAGTGGAAATATTACTACTCTTTTGCCATTTTCGTGAAAGTAGTGAGTTCATATGCCAGATCTCTAGCACATCCCCATCAAAACGTACATGCCACGTGATTCAGAGTTATTGATATACATGTACATGTACACATATTTGCAAGTTATGGATAGAGTCCGGTCTCGGATTGTCGGGATAAGAGAAATATGGGGTGAATTGTACACTTGGTGCTGCTGGGATCAGAGCGGGCCCATTACTCAAGCAGACTGTGACATCACTGCAAAGTTGAGTGACGGATTGATTGTGTAGGTACATGTATACCCCTACATGATGTACTTGTAAGTAGTTGTATGTACAAGTACATGACA